CTTCTTGGCGGTGCTCGCGGGCAAGCTCGGAGCGAAGGGGGTAGTGTTGGAGCTTGCGCTCAGAGTAGAAGAGCGGAAGAGGTTGCTCGCGGTGGAGATGGTGCTCGCGTTGAGGTTGCTCGATGGCATGGGGTCGCGGTTTAAGACTCTCTGCGATGGAGCAGTCTTGGGAGTGCCGAGTCGCTTGTTCGGGTTCAGAGGCGAAGCTTGGTAGCTACGGTTCGCGAATTTGAGCGACGGGCGGGGCCGCGGGGTGCTGTTTCTTTGGTCCATGATGATGTGCGACGACCAAAGAATCGATTTCGGGATTATAATTAGTCGTTGGTGATGAGGTTTGCGCTGATCGACTCGGTCTCGGAGGGAGAGTCGCGTCTCGATTCACGCAGGATTCGCAGGCAAAGCCAGGCGGGCGAGGAAAGGAAAGCAGGCGCAACTGCGAGAAGCAACTGCTTAAGGGTAGATGCGATTGGATGAAAAAAACACTCAATGATGGCTGGAGCTTCTACAGCAACAAAACTCGATGGCGCAGCGATCAAAAAGGTGATGCTGAACAGCGCATCGAACACGCCTTTGATGGTAGTCTGGCTGTAAGATGCACAGGAAGATTTTGGTGCTGGATGATTTTTGGTGTGGCTCGACCGGGCGACGGGTGACGGGGCCAGCTATTGGGAAAAAATACCAGGCCTCACCTCAGTGCAGGGGGGGCGCGAGCACGGTCGGGAAAGAGTGGGTCGGTTTTCTGCCGTCACTCAACCTCAGGCCAGCGTCACCGCCCTCAATTGGTCGCAAGTTGCGGATACCTAAAGTGCAAAGGAAGTGGCAGGTGCGACTGCGACGGCGACTGGGCGCTTCTGGTTGGTGGTCGGCGCTTGCAATTTTTCCAAGGGCGTTCCCCAGGACCCGGTCTTTCCTCAGGTCCTGCGTCACGATCCTCCAGCTTTCAACCAGTCAAACGAATGGAAGCTACGGATAGCACTACGTACCTTCCCAGTGGTATGTACTCTATGAACCTATTTACATCGGGGCATTCACTGGCCCGGGCGTTTTCCTCGAGTCTGCTGAGTCAGCACCCGCCAGATGGCCCAGATCCAGCCAGACGAGACAGGTGTACAGCTTGAGTGCAACACACACCTTTAAATCTGCTGCACTCCTGGCCCTTTTGTGTCTGCACCAAGAGACGTATGTCTGGCTGGTGCGACTGCGACACTGAAACCAGGGGAACACAGTTCCCCAAACCGGACGGCAGCCTCGCTCACGAGACACTCACGAGTACCAAGACCCTGTAGCTTCTGCTCGGGTAATCCAGCCTGAATCTAGTCATGTCTGCTCGCCGGCACTCTTCAAGTCGTGGGTAGGCATATAAAGGGGATCGACTGGTCTGGTCATCGCAAGCTTGATCTCCGTACGGTTAATAGTATCCAATCAACCGTTGGCTAGATCCGGCTCACCACGGCCGGAGTGCACGTGAAGATGGCGGCGCCGGTGCTCCGACCTCAAATGGGCCTCCTGACTCGGGGCGGCAATACTCGGGAATTTCCACCATCTGAGGTCCAGCACCGTTGACGTTGCGGACCAAGTCACGGAAGCAATTATTATCTATGAGCAAGCGCATCGGACGTCCGTTGAAAAATAAAATAAAAAAAAACGCCTCCCAATCGTAGGATATAGACCTGCTTTGTGTTGAGTGATGGAGAGATTTAGTAATTCTCAGCTGTTCCATTACGAAAGTCGGTCTTGGAGGCTATCACATGCTTTTCCAACGGACATCATCGTGTTCAAAGAACACAAGTTTACATTACCAAGTTTCCCACAACCCCCCAACTGGAGAGCCTGTCAATTTCACGCGATCAACAATTGTTAAGATGCTCATTGATTGATCATAGTCTCATTTCCTACGGCAACGCTACGTTTGGCGCGCATCCAGGGCCAGCACGATTGGCAGGCCCGACTGGTAGGTTATGGTACAGGGTATTACCGACAACGCAATATCCATTGCGACACACATTTACAACTTGGCCTTGGACTGGGCCTTCTTCAGGATGGGCTCCATTCTGGTGGCCTTCATGACGTCGCCCTTGATTTTGAGCTTGCCGGACATGAAGAGCTTCTGTGCGTTGGCCTTGCCCTGGACGAGGTTGCCAAAGTCGGCGTCGGACAGAGACAGGGTGACTGAATCGAGGTTAGTACTGATTATACTGGAGGGAACGCAACCCGCGCGCGGATGACATACCGGTGGGCTTCTCGCCCGTGCCCTTGGCGACCACGCCCTTCTCCTTGAGGTCAATGTGCCAGCTGTCGGTCTCGCCGGCAGAGTTCTTCAGGGTGAAGGCGAAAATGGCGTTGCCCTGCTTGATGGCATCCTTGCGGTCGGGCTCGCTGGAGCCGAGCGCATCGTTGATGGCGTCGAAGGCGGCCGAGGAGGGGAACTTGTCTAGAGGAAAGCAGCCAGAGTCAGTATGCTGGATGCGATTGAGACCGAGACCGAAACATTCCGCTGAAGGATGACATACCGTTGGTGAGACCCATTGTGATTAAAGGATAGATGTGCTTGGTATAGATTGAGTCGAAATGGTGTATAGTGATGACAGTTGGATGTGATAGATCGCGAAAAGATTGCCGAAACGTGGGGGAAGGGACTCGGGATAGTTTAAGTAGTGAACAAAAAGGTGTCAACGGTAAGCCGTGCGTCGGAGGTTGGGGTCGTCGGACGGAGGAATAAAGAAACAGAGAGGAACGGAGGCGGAGTGATGGAAAGCTACTTGGCTAAGCGCATCTCAGCAATGACGCTCAGTCGTCGCATGTGAACCTCGGCGATTTAGCAGCACACGGCAGGGCGTCATGTGCCCGCGCGTGTCCTCACTGCTTGAGGTAGTGTAGGTAGCAGCCAAAGGGAATAGTGGGTCGCTGCTCTGTTCCCCATGGTCCACCTAACCGTATTCCGTGTGGAAGGAACCTACCTGGCCCCAGTCAGGTGCAGCCATATGCACCGCACCCCTGCACTTATTCTGCCTTCTTCCACTCCCGCACGCTTCATGCCAGTTCCATTTCATGGGGGCCGACTGGCGCATTGGGCCGCTGGAGAAACGCACCGCTGTAGCGCCAAATCGTGGATACTTCGTTTCGTCATTTACGGTTACTTCGACCTTTGACCTCTGAGGTATCCGCATCTCACCTTACTGGACTTTCCATCATGAGGGTTTCACGGACGGCAGGCGGCCACAACCGAACCGAGCACAGGCGCTGCCACGACGGGATACACCTCAAGCGCAGCCACTCATCCTTTACCACTCTTCGTTGACCTTGACAGTTGGGTTCTAGAATAGCCATCATCGATACGGATACCGAATCACGAACTGTGACCAGTGTGCCTTAGCCACAGCGCCACAAAAGGCTTGCTTTCGTTCATTATTTAACCTGCGGTGCCCACGGTGCCTACGCCTACACCCGTGTTGCATGACCTCGACGCCACAGCAAGCTTTAAGTCTTCATACCTGCTACCGGCGCTGGACAGTGACAATGATCCATGGGGACGCTGATCCCATTACCTATTGCCATGGATCTGATTCCGGCCCTGGCCAACGACTGCCTTGAGCGCCTTACCGGTTCCATGCCAGCTACGCGCCGCAGGGAACAATCCCCGTTCTTCAGCGCGTTCCAGCTAGCGTTCGTCATGTCTCGCAGAGACCGAGGCTTCAAAGGAAAACACGAGGGAAAGCAGAGTCGATCAAGGTCGATCAAAGGTCAAAAACAAGACAGCACATACACAACAAGGTAACACATCCCGACTCTATGGTTCATTTCTCCCCGAAACAAGCTTCAGACGACCTTATAACACCCGAATCGATTTCCGCATTCGGACTCAATTCATGCTTTGCTTCCCTGATGGTTCGCCACGATCTCTGATTGCGACCTTTTTCGTTGATGGCCAGTCAGATGCTGCAGATCCCCAACATTCGTCCCAAGCTTCTCTTCCATCTGACAGCAGCCGAGGGAAGTTGAATTGGGGTAACACCCCAGAATCCCTTACTCCGAATTGGGGCAGCACCAACGAGAACGAGTCCGAGTGCGGTGAGCTGTCATGCAGTATGCATGAGAACCAAAGCCCCAGGCACGCATCAAGATCCAGGCACAAGAGGGGACCTCGGCTCGAAGTCACCGTCCAAAGAGGCTACAAGACCTCGTACGACACGGGTTGATCAACGTCTCGGGAGTTTGGCAGTTCGTCCGACCCCGGCTTTGAGTCCTGATTGTACAGATATACTAATAACGTGCTGCATCGAAACGTGCCTCCTTCGTCCCTTGCTGCCACAGCATGCAAACCCCTGTCTGAACTTCAGTAAGAGCCGTCTACACTATTACCTCCCGATGCAGATCCGCTGGCTAAACCACATTTGCCAGAAAGGTCTAAGTCAATGCCACGCTAGCGACCGAACATGCCATAGGTGACAAAGCCGCGGCGAATCATCTTCAATATCCCGTTTACTTGTTCAAGATCTTTCTCCGCCACGTGCAAGTTGTACCGCCATGTTCGCAACGGTTGCCGAGTCCACCAGTTGGATCAGATAGCACTGTAAAGTCCACTTGGACGAACAGGACTATTGATGTGGGGAGAAACAAGTAACAAGTTGAAAATGTTTGCACTGTCAAGCTGCACTCACCACTAGTCTGGTTGAACAGTGATCTCGAGCTGTAGGGAACGACGTACGCCCAGCAAAAGCCTGCTCTACCAACTCGTCTGATCTTCGATTGCATGTGTTGTGCCCGATGATCTAGACGGCGAGTTGATGGACGTTGGGCATATTGTGGCTATAATTTGTTGACACTTATCAAAGCGCGTTTCTACATCTACTCTAGGCGCAGTGGAGTTCCCACTTACGCGAGAAACTTTTGCCTCTGAGCACCTTTCCTTACATTTTGAACTCAAAATCTACATCATCCCCCCAATATATACACGAAGTCTCAATAATACCACAAGACACCACTCAGTCTTCCTAAGTCTTTCAAGCTGCCGTATCCCGAAGATACGCGGCAAGGACGCCTCCCCATCCACCAGTGTTATCGCTCGCAAACACCTCCCAGATGACGCCCCCCGTCTTGTCGTACAGAAGCGCGGTGGTGCTCTTGGAGCTCAGGCCGAACCAGTACGTTGACTTGGCGCTGTCAGCGTAGGCCTGGTTGGTCATGCAGTTGCCGCCCGTGTTCTCGCACTGCGCGTTCTGCCACTTGTTGTCGTTCATCTTGTTGAAGAACACCCACAGCGCGGAGCCATGGATCACCACCTTGGAGCTGCCTGTCATGTAGTGGCCCCATGATCGGTAGCAGCGGTCGTTGTTGCCCTGTCCCTGGGCCGCGCAGTTGCTGAAATCCGGGTCGCCGAAAGCTGGTTTTACGCTGTGTTTGAAGAGAATTAGCCATCCAGAGTATCGACACATTTTGGACCAAGGACATGAAGCCGTGGGTTACGGAAGGGTTAACTTACGACCACGGACTGGGCGCTCTTTGGGGAGTCCCCTCACCCTGCCAATACGCAGACTCCGTCTGCTCCAGACTAATGTACACATTCTGCGCGTTGTGGAGGTTATACTGATACAAGACGCAGTGCTCGAAGCTTGTTCCCACCAGCCACGTGGGTTTGGTGCTCTCGATGAGCGCGCCTCTGCCGACGGCAATGTTCTGCGCGGCGCCGCCGTCGAGCGAGTGGTCCGCCACCCAGCCCCACACGTTCTCGAGGTACGCGCTCGCCGTGGAGGTGACGTGCATGAGCGCAAAGGCGGCCTTGCACGCGCCGGGGTCCGCGCCGCCGCAGTTCGTGTTGGTGAGCGAGTGCTTCGTGCCGCCGACGCGGAAGACGCTGCTCCAGATGCCGACGTCGCCGGGCCGCGCGCCGGCCATGTTGATCTGGACCAGGGTCGCGCCCTGGAGGACGTCGGCTACCTCGACCGTGATGTCGGTAATTTGGGCGACGCCCGTCTCGCCTGGGTTGCCGACCTTGAGGATGGGTTGAGGGTCGTCCGGGTTCCAAAACTTTGATCCATTACCTACTCTCAAGTCAGTAATCGGTTTCGAGGGACCCCAGTGGTTCGGATATGGCCTACCGTTGATGATACTGAGCGTCTCACCGACTAGGCGCGTTCCGGGGGGCACGTAGATCGTCTCCTCGGTGCGGTAAATACCCTGCGGCACAAAGATGATCTTGCAACCCTTGTACTTTTGCAAGATGGCGTTGATGTTCGGTCCGTCGTTGTGGCTGTTGTCGCCGTACACGGGGTACTGCGAATCGCCATTCAAACTCACAAACTGATCCAGCGCGTACTTTTCATATTGCGGCAGCGGCGCCGTAAAGTACCTATCCCCGGAAACCAGCGCGGCGGGCCGGTCAATGGGGTACACCGTCCCCTTTTGCAGGTTATTCGAGTTGACGTTACCCATGACCCACGTCTGCCCGGCCGTCACAGAGTCCTTGCGCAGCGTCGACCCGTCGCTCGCAGACTTGACGGCCGCCGTGGTGCTGTTAGATCCAACCTGGAAGTTGTCGAGAATCAAAGAGTTTTGGCCGGAGCCCGTCACGAGGTTGTTTACGCCGGCGTTGCAGGATGATTCTACCCTGGAGTCGACGACGGAGACGACGCCGGCCGTGTTGCGGCCCATGTCGATGCCAAAGTTGCAGTTTGCGAAGGTGGCGCCCTGGACGACGGCGACCCAGACGTGGTCGACGGAGATGCCGACGTTGCAGCCGTTGAAGGAGAGGTTCTTGAATTGGTATTGCTGGCCGTTGACTTTAATGCCGATGGCGCCGCCTTCGAATTGCTGGGCGTACCGTCAGTTTTCTGCGTAGACTCGGGGGCTTTCGATACATTTCAAGCCGGGGAAAAGCTATTCAATAATTGAAAGCAAGTAAGGGTAAAGGAAGGGGGGGAGAAACTCACACAATCGCTAATCAAGATCCCAGAACCGCCCTGCACCATCGTAACACCAACATGGCTCGAGGAATTCGGCATGCGCACTTTGACATTCGTCAACGAGCACCCCTGCGACACGCTCCAGTCCATTCCGACGGCCGCGACGCCGGTGCCGATCTCGGTGGTGTCAATCACCAGATTCCGCACCGCCATGTAAAAGTTCTTTGTCGCGGACCCGTCGCCCTGGTGGGAATCGTAGCCGTTGATCACAGGCTGCTCGCCGAGCGCCGGATCGGCGATGAGAACGGGCGGGTTGAGGGCGTCGCCGACGAGGTAGGTCGTCACGAGCATGTTGATCGACTTCTTGATGCGGTACCGGCCGGGCGGGACGTAGATGTAAGCTGGGCGGGTTGTTACCGTGTTTCCTGTGCGGCTCCATGCTGTTTGTGCGTTTTGTCAGTTATACGGTTCCAACACCCCCTTTTCCTCCGATGACTTGGAGTGTATGTATATCGAGGTATGGGGGTAAGGTAAGTAAGTATACATACCTTCAATGGCAGAGTTAAAGGCGTCGGACGAGTCCTGGACGCCCGTGTTATCGGCGCCGTACTGGACCGCCGTCCGGTAGTACTGATACGTCGAGTCCGTGCTCGTCGGCGCCGTGCCATTGTGGCCGATGGCGGCGCGCCACCAGGTGGATGGGTTGCTTTCCACGGGGCCGGAGCATGCCTGTTGTCTCGAGCCCAGGACGGCCGCGGCCGCGGCGGCATCGTGGGGGTGCTGTTGGTGCGGGTGGGCGGCCCCGATGCCCAGGAGGGCGAGGAGGGGGAGCAGCTTCATTGTGAATGGGAGCTCTGCTTTGAAAGGGGGGGGGGGGGTTAAGAGGGCGAGATGAAGTGACAATCCTCTTGTCTATTTCTCTCGTCATCGCTTCAATTATTGGGACATGGTCGAGTCTTTAAAGAGGCGTTTTAGTATTGCGCGCCCACGGCCTATGGGATTCCCTTCCTCCTGCACTGGTGCCGCTCATCGTCATCAAACTACCCCGTGCGAAATTCCGTATCCTGATATTTCTGTCCAAGTCGCACTAACACGCGACCCCCTGTGTCATGTATCCGTAGTTCTTATTTCTTTCCTGCATGTGTATGAATAATCGCCATACCCGCTCATTACCGCAAAACTGCAGCAAGGGTTCAGGCGGAAAGTACGAGGGGGTTCGAGGTAGCTTAATGTGCTGGAGCCAGTCACACACCTTGTACATACGGATACAATTCCTTGCCCAGCAGCCCAGATCGTGGGCTGCGACGGCCCCACCTCACAAACGTGTGCGAGATGGGGGTTCGTCCCATGGAGAAAGAAGAAGCACCAGAAGCTAAGAATTTTGGGGCTGATGTGAGATGCTTGGTGAATCAAGACAAATCCGACTTCTTTTCAAAACCCCTGACTAGTATTACTGAGCTAGTTTACTACGTAGGCTCACTAGCCTATTACATGCAGGTCTAACAGCCAATTCGGAGCGGGTACGGGCATACTAGCTTGCGGGTTTAGGTTGCTTCTTTTGCAGTTAGGCTCTAGGCACCAGAATTTCGTTGACAGGGGTTTGGTTCCTTTTGATCAACGTCTTGCAGACTGCCCGGCGAGCAAAGGCCAGGAGCTGAGAAACAGAGAGCATGATAGAGGCGGGGTGATGATTCTTGATTACTTTCCTAGTCCGACAAAGGCACACGAGTCTATTTTAAGCAATGATTGTGGAGAGGGGGGACTTAGTTGAGAGCTTTTTGACTCCTTGTAGAGAGGACCTGAGGTCTTTGCGGATTCGACGGGATCCTCAGGTTATGCGGGAGACGATTGATGGCTTGAAAATCTAGAACCACGTGAAAAAGGTGTTTTTCATGAGGTTAAAATATGGAATTCGGTGCATACGTCGGTCCAATTGGAGTTGTTTGCGTGTTTGCGCTGACTTGTGACAATTGCCCGGGTTGTGATGATGGCTTCTAGATGTCGCCTGGCTACCCAAGGTGATCTACAGCTGGAGCACACCTCTACGGCTTTGGGACTGATCTTGGGCACAGAGGCAGTCCTTCAAAGACCTCTTGAGGACACAATTACCTTCCACTTTTGATCAAAGTCAATATGCCTCACACCCATGCGTGAGTTCCTGCCTGTGAGGTCATCGTTCATCCTATCTATTTGTTCCTAAAGGCCCGAATCGCACGTTTTCGGGCAATTGTAGTCCCGGGGTGTCTGTTTGGACAACTTCTGAGCCGGAAATTAGGTGAACATCAAGTCTTGGCTAGATGGATATAGAGCTTCTGACATTTCTCGCTGGCAACCTTGGACTATCATGCATGGGAGAGTTGTAAGGAGCCAACCCTCCCAGTGACTTCAAAGATACGCAGCTATATTGATTTCCCTCGATTTTTCGACACTGAATGTGCTACAATGGAACTTATGGGAAGTCGCCAGTTCTTCACTTTCAAAACTTTCAAGATTCGAAGCTAATTGGCAACCTTTCTACAAGCGTTGGACGTTGCCTCTTCAAGCCAAACGCGATTTATGAGACGCGTAGACTGTGGCGACCTCGCGCTTGAATGATTAACTTGTGGCAATACCTTCAGCTATCCGTCTTCATTGTCTCTTGTTATTGTGACAGTATGATTGCTCTTTTCAGAAACCGGGCTACCGTCTTGAGATTTTGCAGAAATGATATAGCACCACGGTACAAGCCGCGCGAGCGTGCGGCGGAGAGCTTACATTCTTACACATCCCAACGTAGAGATGCCCTTTCCAGGCATTCTCTACATCACCAGGCGTCAAATTTCGGGGGGCCCTTCAGAGCTATATAGTCTCACTGGCTTCAAGTACAGGGCATGGTTGAAGCCAACCCCGACGTGATTGCGGATTATCTGAAATGCGCACATCGTCCACATGAATCCATCATCCTAAGTGTAGCCTCTTCTTCCGCCGCATTGATGTTTGCCAATAAATTCTCGCCCAGACCTCATCAAAGGACGGCTTTCTTGACCGCTTGAAACTGCAGGCTAATGATTCCGAGATGAATAATATGCTACCCAAAGCCGGTATAAGAAGACGCCAAGACAAACATCGAGAGCTCTTTGTTCCAACACGACGCGATATAGAGAGATGAAACTCTAAGACAGGCCTCTCTGGAAAGAGACGGAGGCTAATGCATCTTTGTCTGGTCCAGCTTGTTGGAGGAGCGACTCTCTGGCCTCTGGGGAAGCGGGTATTGCGCCTGGCTGCTGGGTGATGAGGGCGTGTCGTCTGAACCGTTGAGTTTTGAGTTGGAATCGTTGTCATCTTTTATTAGAGGCTTCGCCATGGTTGTTATGAGCGGCGGCAGTGCCGGGAGAGTAAGCATATGACGAGATCGAGGCCTATTGCACAAAAGCTATATACTAGAGATCAACGAGGCGAGTCCAGGTTTCCTTGAACTTGGGCTAGCGAGCCGGGCATATGCATTCCCGGCTGGCCGCGTATCCCCTTGTCCAGAGCTGCTGCAAGAATGAGTTGATATGGTGAATAAGCCGAGGTTACAGCCCGCAAAAATGTTGTCTTAGGAGAACTTGTTGACATTTGTTACTTGCTGTCTGGAACAGAGTGGTTTGTCTATCCGCAACTCTACCGCCTCCCTTCTTTTTGTGACCCCCAAGCCCCGTCATATGCTTTTGAGTGCCCATCCTTCTACCTATGCCGCAGTAAAATACAGTAGTAGTATACAATCCGGCGCTTGCCACAATGCAGCCTTTGACAAAGGAATATATCAGCGACATTGGTTCTGTCCGCCAGGCGAAATACTATACAAGTCCGCTACGTGTGGTTCAATTTAAAGATGCCACTCGGGAAGGGCAAAGTCTCGGTCCTTTGGCCAGTTCTCCGTCCTGCATAAGTGAAAAAAGTTAGCAATTGTACGTCTTGGACATTGTCAGATAGCGAGGTTCCATACCTTGTCGTCAAGAGAACCGTCATGCGCTTCCTCCTCTCCACACTCTCCTCGGCCTCCGTCAGGCGCAGCCACTCATCGAGCAGCTGCCTCAGCTCCTCATCCCCGCGACCAGCGCAGTCGATACCGCGCTCCGTAGCCGCAATCTTGACCTCCTGCTCCTCCAACGCAGCCGCGCCCCCGTCGCGCGCCAGCAACCTGTCGTCTCCTTCCAAGAAAGCCATCCGCAGCTTGCCCTTGGTCGCCCACATACCCGGCGGGATAAACCCAATCTTATCCCACATCATACCGGGCATATGCAGACTGCGCAGCACATGTTTCCTCGCCGGCGCCCTCGCAGCCGTGCCCTGCGTGCCCGCGACGCCCTGCGGCGCAGCCCGCTCAAAGTCGGCAAAGGACTTGTGCCGGCGCTCCTCCGCCTGCGAGAAGCCGGCGTCGATCTGCCGCGGCAGACGGCACGTGTACGGCACGACGCCGTCGACGAAGATGACGATGAGCGGGGTGAATTCCCCACAGACCAAGAGGACGAGGCCGAACAGGGGCACGCGGAGGACGTCGTGGCGCACGCGCCAGAGGAGCACCCAGTCGGCGCGCGAGAAGCCCTTGGGGATGACGCCCGGCGTGAAGACGGAAGGGGCGCGGAACCCTTCGACCGAGGTGCTCTTTGCGCGGATGACGTCTTGGATGTGGCGGCGGTTGGAGAAGACGGCTTTGAGGCCCGTCTTGTAGAACTTGATGTAGGCCTTGCCCGTCTGGATGAGGTGGCCAAACTTTGAGGCGTCGGGTTTCTTCTCGGGTAGGTCGAGGGCCGCCGGGCGGGAGGAGGCGATGGCGTTGACCTTGTCTCTGTTCGCGGTGGAGGAGTACGAGGGTTCGGAGGGCGTGAGGGAGCTCGCTAGCCGGCGGTAGGGGGTTGCTTGTCGCGCGATCGAAGCGAGGAGGAAGGACGTGTGGACGGAGCTGCTGCTGTTGCAGAGGAGAGAAGACGGAGCGCGCATGGCGCGCAGCGTCGTGCCGTGGTTCATTGCATGAGACGTGTGAGGAAAGTTGTGATTATTAGGGAAACTTCAAGGTTAAAGGTTGCGGATTTGAGGTTCGTGAATGGGGGGTCGGACCGGGTCGCGCGGGACGCCAAAGGGCATAGCCAAAATATCGATTTTAATTAAAGAAAAATGGGCAATTGGTTTCGTCACTCATTACACCTACAAGCTTATCGCTTATCGGCGTGCTTACCCCCTTGCCTCGGCCCCACCCGTAACTTCACCCACCGAGTCGGGTCCGGAGATCGGCCGCTCTGGCCGAATCAAGCTTTGCCGTTTCCCCTTGGCGTGACTTTTCAGTCCTGGTTATTGGACAATTGAGCTGGACTGTTGGGGCGATCATTCATCTCTTTGAGTATGGTCTTCGAAATTTCCACGTGCTGCAACCGAAAGCTTCTCTCCAATGTTGGTACCTACTTACTGTGCTACTATACTTGTCACCCTCAAACGAAACCGCCCACAGCTTCACTCAAGTTCAAGGGCACGTCTTATTCAAGACAACCAATAGATTCGAGTTCGCCATAAGACCACTCATACTAGAATCCCGGTGTATATGAAGCTGTTATTACATTACAGCGCCAGGCCAATAGCAGAGTCTCTAGGACTGCGAGTCTACTGCGTCAGTGAGCATCAAGCTTGAAAACACACATTGACAGGAAACGCCACAGAAACATCTGCATTAATTCAAATGATTATTACACACGTCTCATCCAATATGATCATACAGCTTCGGGGCAGACAGTCCCGTACCTGCCCGGTTAGGTCGCTGACCTGAAGTGGTCTGCAGAGAGCCGAAATCACAACCCCAGAATTGCGGATCAATCTGTGGGCCAATGCAAACACTTCTTGAGGCATTTTTTCGCGCCGGACTGTCACACCGAGCAAGGCTCAGCCTTGGTCACTCCCCTTGGTGTAGTTGGTTCATCACGTTCGACTGTAATTGTTTATCTCTTGTCATCGAAAGGTCTCTAGTTCGATTCTGGAAGGGGAGAACCAAAATCTTTTGTGTTTTTGACTGTTGACGATATCGTAGCTGCGCTTTAAGTGATGTGGAGTTGCGTGGGAATATTTTTGAGTTGCGCTTTGTGACTGTTGCATAATGTGGAACCAGTGGTCGTTTGACTTGGTCTTTGTTCAAATGTCTTTTGTTGACTTTTTAACTAGCTGGGAGTTACTTGAGCTTCCCGTGCCTGCCAACGTACTGGGTTCTCACATAGGAGGGGCATCAAGAGGAGGTTGTGAACCTCGCAACATTAGCAAGCTTGATTTCGATTTCAGTCTTGTCATTACCGGAACCTACTATACTTGCTTTCAGCCCGCGCGTACATAAAGTCAAAGACAGAAGACTTGCAGTCACATTCAAAGTGTGATAGCCAGGTGATTCGCGTCAAACCAATCTCAATGAACCATTCCTCGACCCATCCCATCCCATCCCATCCCATCCCATCCCTCACTCATTTACTCAAGCACCCAGCCCAAACCACCGCCGAAACCACCCAACCGCCTGATCCTCCGCCCTCATCCCGAAATCCGCCTGCCGCGGATCATTCGGGTTCCCCCTCACAGCAAACCCGTGCTTGGCGCCGGGATACTCCACAATCTCAAAGTCCTCCCCCTTCTTCCCCAGTACGCTCTTAGCCTCCACCATCCGCGCCCGCGGCATCATCATATCGTCGTCCCCGTTCGCCACGCTCAGCGGCAGCACCACCTTCTCCAGATCGCCCGGCAACGTGAGGAAACTCGGGTGCGCCGTGAAGCCGCAGTCGATGAGCCTCTCACCGCCAAACGGTCCGGCGGCGAGCTGTGAGAGCAGGACGGTGAATTTTCCGCCCCAGCAGAAGCCTGCGACGCCAATCTTGGTGTCTTTCTTAGCGGATGCCTCACCGGCCGAGGATGAGGTTGAGGTCGATGGACGGGGTGGGAGCGGCGACGGCGGCGAGAGGCGGACGGCGCGGAGGTAGTTCTGTATGCGCGGGACGACGACGCCGGAGCGGGTGGCGATGACGAGGGGTATAAAGTAGCGCAGCATCGTCGCGACCATGACGGGCGCGATGAGGAGGTATTTTCTCCACCACGACTTTTCGGCCTCCATTTTGTCGGTCATGGCCAGCGCGGTAGCTGGGATGGCGTAGCCTTTTTTTTTTGGTTACACGCGGTGTCAGTAGGTTCGTAATCATCGAGGTTCCCATGAGAGGTCACGATATCGCAGTCTGAGCATTGTTACGTCCCACTCCCTTCCTTCCCTTCCCGCTCTCCCGGGACATCATATGGGTCATCGAAATACCCAGACCCAAGCCAGGAATGAACAATCCTTCCTCCTTGAAACAAGCAAAAGGCAATCCCGCAAAGCAAAACCAACGAAAGAAGAATGTCGCTTCTCAAAGAAAAAAAACTCACCATTCATCAACTCAGGAAGCAGCACAACCGCCGGGATTCTATTCGCGTACGCATCCGCCAGCGCGCGCGTATTCTGCAGCTCCCACCCCATCGCGTCCGGCAAGATCACGACGACGCCCGCGGGCTCGTCGCGGCCGGCTTCCGGGCGCGCGACGTACGTCGGCAGGCCGTAGACGGTCTCCACGGTGCCCTTGAGCTCGGTGTCGCCGCGGAGCGTGCCCTTGAAGCAGTCGGCGCAGAAGCGGGGGGCCTGGTGTTGTTGCTGTTCTGACGACATTTTGTGTCTTGTAGCCACGTAGGCTGTGAGATCAATTGATGGAGGATGGGGGGAAGGTGAGGGCAAAGTTGCCTTTTGTGACGGAATATTCAGCGTTGGGCAAAATTGGGGCTCTCTCTCTCAAGGCGACGACTTCCGGTGCTTTGGAGATTGAATAGTCCAAGTGCAATTCAAGAGAAGGGAGAGACAGCAATGGTTGATACAGAATAAGAAACTGGACCCAGGCGGGAAAGATGTTATCTCTATACAACAGTCTTAAGCTACCTCAGGGACTAAAACACCTCAAGCTTCTGCAGAGCTAACCTCAGCTCAGCTAAAGTGAACCTGTAAAGGGAGCTGTCACACCAACGGGGGGCACGCGGGGTTAGCGGAGAATGAAGTCATGGACGGAGTTTCATCCGAATCCGACACCCGACCTAGATTCCTACCTCAGCAAGCTTAGGTACTACTAGGCTGGTAAGGGACGTTCGTACTCTGAGAACAAATCACAATTGTCAATTGGGGTGGTGGTGTTCCTCGGCTCGCTTTTCTCAGCGTCACGTTTCTCTCGCGCATGCATGTCGATCGATCTGTACCTAGATATCCCGCCGCCGCCGCCGCCGCCCGCGTCGCCGGCCTGCACCAACCACGTAGCTTCATTGCCATACACCAAGTGTCTTAGCGTGGTGCTGTGCTACCCTCCTCCTATAGAAGCAGAGGGCAGCTCGGGCACGCTCGGTTTGTGAGCGGGATACCTAGATAGTACTTGGCGAGAAACACCCAAGAGTCCAGGAAAACGGGATCGGCCCTGAAAAAAAAAAATTTCTCGGAACCCGTCAATTGTGAGAAGGCAGACTTTCTCCACTCAAAGCCGGCCGATGCCCCCCCCGACTCCTCCGTCTTCTCCATCAAAGACGTTTAGGGCCGGGGCGGGAATGAAACACTTTTTTTTTTTTTTTTTCCTTGGGTTGCTGACAAAAAAAACTCGGGTCCGAAGGGAGGGAACTGGGCTCACCGAGGTGTTGCTCACCGAGAACCCGATGACGTGATTGGACCAGAGGATTTCAACACACAATTTCCCGTCCCCCCCGTCTCAACTCAACAACCCATCTATGCTTGGTCATATTGACTCACCAACTTAGTTTCGACTACGCCACTGACCTTACCTACCTTACCCAGAGAAGATAGCTTTGAGCTTGGTTTATCTCCATACCCTCATTTATTCTCAATACTATACATCTTCCGGCAGCAATGGTGAGCATATCTCATACCCCTAGAGCCCGCTACCAAAATCTACTAAGCCCTACCTTACCTTACTCTGTCGGTGTACTAACGACTCGAATGTCCAGGTCCACGCCGACGCCTCAAACTTCGCCAATGGCGTGACAAAGGAGGAGGCCTACGAGCAGGTTCTCATGCAAGCCGAAGGCCTCCTCGACGGTCAAAGAAACTGGGTACGTCTACCGTTCTCGCATTCCTAAATGGTTGAAAGAAGTCGCATCCTGCACTTCTATCTCATCACAACCTTTTCAGACTAACACTCTCTCATAGGTCGCGTAAGTCCAAAAGATTTCCCACCTCCAAGTCGGCTTCCTATTCGTTCGTCCTCAAACCTTTTGGAGAGACCAAAGGCACAAGATGAAGAAGAAAAAAAAAAAAAAAAAACCTCGAGAAGAAAAGAGGACCAAGAGACTAACCTCACATTCTTCTAATCGACAGCAACCTCGCAAATACAGCCTCCCTCCTCTGGCACGCATACCACTCCCTCCCCGCCCCCTCAAACGCAGTAAACTGGGCAGGTTTCTACGTCCTCGATCCCTCATCCACCAAACAATCCCTCATCCTAGGCCCCTTCATGGGCAAAGTCGCCTGCCAACAAATCCCCTTTGGCCGCGGCGTCTGCGGCGCCGCCGCCGCCACGCGCCAAACCCAGCTCGTGGCCGACGTTGACGCGTTCCCGGGCCACATTGCGTGTGATGGGGATAGTAAGAGCGAGGTCGTCGTGCCCATCGTTATCAAGGGGGATAAGGAGGGGGAAGAAGAGAAGCTGGTGGCGATTATTGATGTGGATTGTGCTGAGAAGAATGGGTTTGATGAGGTTGATCGGGTTTGGTTGGAGAGGCTGGCGGAGTTGCTTGCGGGGGGTTGTGATTGGTAAGGGGATGAAGGTGAGGATGAGGGTGAGGGTGAAGATGAAGGTGAAGGTGAGGATATGAGATGAAGAGGGTGGTGAGGGGCGAAAGGAGGGATCAAAGTTGAGTGAAGGAGGATCATTCAAGGATGAGTGAGAGAGAGCGAGAGTCAGGGATGACGCATATGATGACCGATGATGAGTTCCGGAGCTCACTGTGCATTAGATGGGAAGACAGGTATACACGGAGTTGGCGACAACAGGCACCCGATGGAGGGAAACGGAGTTATCTCAACATAGAATCACTTGTGACATGGTCACAGGGCAGAACATATTTGACTCAACAAAATATATTGAGCAACGCTAGAGTCAACCTCTGCGTCTTACGACTAAAACTTTTTTATTTGGTCCCCTCCTTCTTTTTCATTCCCATGTATTGACAATCCTGACAAATTTCTCTCCATCCCAAGTCCCCCGCGCCCCCATGAGTTCATGAATCCATTTCCTTCTTGAAAACGTCGTGTCTTTGCGTTACATTCACACGCACACAAATTTACTCGAGAGCCTTCTTGGCAAAGTTGGGCAGGACGAACGAGGCCTTGTGGATGTCGGCGTTGTAGTACCTGCACAGCTTATCCTCCTCCTCGGCGGACCACTTGCGGAGGGGCTCCTTGACGTTGCGGCTGGCGTCCTTGGTGCAGACCATGAAGCCGATCTGGCCGCTGGGGTAGGTGGGGATGGTGGTGTAGGCGTACTCGGCGACGGGGAAGATCTCCTTGCAGTCCTTCTTGAGCTTGGAGATGAGGGGCATGTGGAGCCACTGGTTCTCGGCTGTTTGTATACTGTTAGCTAGTCCTGTTCTCTAAACGTTTGTTCAAGATTGTTTCAAACAGGAGCCAAGTCTTCAGACAGAGAGTCAGGCTGATAGAGTGCCATGACGGAAAAGGGGGGGAGGAAGAAGAAGAAGAACAACAGCCTCGAGCATGCGCAACGCTTTGGAATGGTAGACAAAGGAGAGTTCAAAGCGTATCCAGGTTCACACAACCCAGTCTCACCGGCATGCCACTGGGCAATACACCGGTATCTCGTAGGGAGAATCGAGGACAGGCCCAAAGAAAGAAAAAGAAGCAGGCACCACGCCTAGGTAGCAGTGCCTGCAGCGCGTTTGTCTTTTCTTTTCTTTTAGAGACCCGAGACTTCCTTGATTCGCCTTCGATATTCCTGAACAAATGGGAACGTACAACCTTGGGTAGTGATGACACCGCCCTCCCTCAGGGCGTCGTGGAGGAGCTGGAAGTAGGGCTTCTGGAAGAGGGACTCGGCGGGACCCTCAGGGTCGGAGGAGTCGGTGATGATGACGTCAAAGGTGTTCTTGTACTCCTCGAGGAACTTGAAGCCGTCGCCGACGTGGGTCTTGGACTTGGGATGGTCGAAGCCGACGGCCATGTTGGGGAGGTACTGCTTGGAGAGGCGGATGACGGCCTCGTCAATGTCGCAGAGGATGGCCTCCTCGACGCACTCGTGCTTGACGACCTCGCGGAGGACACCGCCGTCACCGCCGCCAATGACGAGGACCTTCTTGGGGTTGGGGTGGGAGTTCATGGCCAGGTGCGTAATCATCTCCTGGTAGGAGAACTCGTCACGCTCGGTGGCCTGGATGACGTTGTCCAGGACCAGGACCATGCCGTAGTCGGTGGACTCGAAAATGAGGACATCCTGGTACTGGGACTTCTCGTGGTGAATGACCTTCTTGACCTTGAGGGTCATGGCCTGGCCTATGGCAGGTTGTCAGCATGCCCGGCGTCTTCTCATTCTCACGATGCTTGAGTAGGTGGGGTGGGTGACTTACCGGGCCACATGTTGGAGATCTCACGGAACCAGCCATCTGTACATCAATCCATCAGTTTAGCGCGCGGTCTCGACTCGTTCATCTCATCTGTTTCCGAAAGAGGGTATCATCTTGTCGCATCCACTTTTGTCAGTCTGTCTGTGTGTCCTGTGTCATTGCCGATCCCGAAAAGTGCCGTGCCCGGAGCAGCCATAAGCCGGCATATTTGCAATGTACAAATGTCACCTCAGCAAGAGAGGTATGCCGTATTCGACAGACGATCTGCAAAACCAAGAGACGAGGTCTCCCGGTCTCTCCTGACGAATTGCTTAACCGAAAGTGGCATGAAGGATAGTGCGTGCGCGCTCAGACGGTGGAGGGAGCCAGGGCTGAAGGTCTTTTTGGGGGACCCGGAAGAGGACGGATAAGCCACCCGTCAATAGTCGCGGGAGGTTTCGTTGGCGATTGACCAGGTGCAGGCAGTCCGCACGGCACAAAGTCCGTCTGCCAATGAAGGGCTGTTCGGACGGACGATAGACATGGCTGCTCATGGGGCTCGCTCCCGGTTGCGATATTCTCCGTCTTCCGTTGCGTGGGCTCTTAGCGAACGAACCCCCCCCCCAAGGTCCCCAAGGGCCCAAGGTGACGACAGGCGGGGTGCTCAAGACATTTTTGTATGGCGGGGTATTCTGAGACGGGTGCGTACAGAAGCCGGAAGAGCCAGTGACGAGCATCCGCCAGCAGGACGGAGTAGTGAAGAGCAAAAACCCAATGCCGACGGCAGCAGACGGATTCCGGGCAGTCGTAGACAGAAGGACAGACAGACCGACAAACAAACACAAAACAACAGACATATCTGTTTGAGAGAGGGAGGAAGGGATGGATGGATGGAAAGACGGGGGTGGACCGCACAAACCTTGGATGGTAGGATGGGCAATTTCGCTCATTTTGACGGTAGACGAGGGTTTGGCAGGGCTACTGTGTAGATTGTATAGATATCGACAGGTCGGCAGAGGCACAAGCAATCGTGACAGATGATGCTGGCGCAGGCGCAGTAGTTGAGAAGGAAGGGGTGTTATATGACGAAGAAAAGCCAGGATGGAAAAGTGAGATTGTCTGATATCAAAATGTGCGTTGACGTCGTGGGGGGGGGAGAGAGAGAGAGGTGGGAGAGTAAGAGAGGTGTTGTGTGGTTGGCCAGCCGATTTGCGGTGTGCTGGGCCTGCAGAGAATCTGTACCAAGGTGCGCGCGCGCTCCCCCGCTGTCAACAAGCACTGGTGCGGGCAAGGCGAGTGGGAAAAAAAAAAAAAAAAAAACGCTGCAAGAAAATTTTTGTGGCTCCGGGGGTGGCCTCGTTTTGAAAATTCAGGGCCCAATTTTTCAGTGCACCACCTTGGCACCTATAGGCTATGAGTCTACGACGGTATACTCCGTAGGTGTTCGTAGACTGAGGTATCACGGACAACTCACAGTGAGGCCTATTGGCTCATTGGTTGAAGCCCACCAAATGGCACTTTCAATGGAGCATCGAGATTTCCTCAATCTCTCTCACCATCATCAGACGCACTTCGATCCGGTTCACGTCAGTGCGCCAGTCAGGTTCCTGACTCTGCCCATCCGTGTCTTAATACCAGCGCAATACATTTGTGACCTTGCTTTTAATTGCCCTGCCAGGCCGAGCACGTTCGTCGTATTAGAGGCCATCAATAATACACAGCAAGATTCATGGATCGATCCATCATCCGGGCGCACACAGATGCGTGTCCCCATGGCTCCGGGTTGAACGATTAGCAATCCGACATGATGGATTGACAGTTCAGAGATCCCCAAACCGTCTACCCCTTCCATCGCGAGCTGTCTCGCGAACACAACCTGTCAACCCCATGTGCCGGCCCAACTCTTACTGCCCAGTCGGTCCGGTGCACACCAACAACGACGCTTATCGCGAAGGGAGCACCCGTTGGCTGGTGCTGCCAACGACCTGCGTCATCGGCTTTGCGAACCACTGCCCAGAGCAAACAAGCCCTGAGGGAATTATCCGCTGTTGTATCCGTACGTAGTGTACTGCAGCCATGGAGAAGGAATGTGCGGCGTGCGACGTGCGACGTGCCTTTGCAGAAAACGTGGCGAGCTAGGATCAACAACCCAAAACCTCTTTGGCTGCGTCCCCTTTTTCTTCTCGGCTTGTTCTCCCTTCCTCTGCGTCCCTCGCTTGCTGCTTGCCGCTTTTCTCGATACTGAACGGGCTGTCAAATCCGAGAGTCCCACAGAGCTCGCCTCCCTGCTCCACTTGCTCACCGGCAATCAACGGCGTCCATGTCTCGCCCGGTTGTCGCCGGATCAAGACAGTAAAGATCATCTCTCCACTACCCGTCAGATGTGACAGCTTATTTGGTTTTGACAGCCCGCCGAAGGATAGACGAGACGACATGAAACGAAACTATCCTTTCGCAACTGGGTAGGTATCCGTATTTAACTTTCTAGGTAGGCAGGTAGTGTGAGTATCCGTACCTATCCGTAGCCTATAAAGTTAAGACATCATCAGCCTGATCCACGGGCCGTGCTTATTACTTGCAGACTGCGATGGACCTTACCCAGACCACCTCAAGTAAAACAAGAAGTCTTCGGACTTTGGTAATTGAGGCTGAAGACCTCGCCCACAGACGTTGCCCACAGCAGGCTAGGTCAGTTTGACGATCTGATAGCCACATACGCTGACTAAGCGGTTCGATTCTTCAGCGCCTGAGACAAGACTTGCGCGTGCCGGGCGAGAGTTGGCCGAGCCAGGCCACGGATCCGTCCGCCAATGTAAGGATTGAGGCCCGACATGGGCCCTTCCTTACCTAAGTCCATATGTACAAAGTACTCCGTACGGAGCACGCGTTTCCCGTCTCTTATTACCAATGCCATGGTTGTTTTCATGTTGCCAGCCGCCGTGGTTTACACCAGCTGCCGCGACCGAGCGATAGCTTCGCACTACGTCGAGGCCGAAGACTAGTAGCCTTCGGTTATGCAAGACATAGAAACCCACTGCCCACTGTCTCCAGCTGCATCGCGACTCTGCCTCTTTTTGTTTGTCCCTTGTCGTGAATGTGTCGTTTAGTACGGGTCCTGAGAAAAGGCACCCGGAAACTTTGCAACTGTGATACAGTGTGTTGCAGGTCAAATCGTCTCATCTCTTCTGTCGCAGCCGCCATCATCAAAGAACTTTCGTGCCAGAAAATAAGTGCCAGCTTGAACGTCTGACGTCTTAAGTGCAACACAATGTTCAGCCTCCATCGCCTCAGCTCCCTCAGTTTCCCCTACCCACCAGGAATGATGGTGAGAGCGATAGGCACTGTTGACGAGATGATCAGCAATTCCACCCCAAAACGTTGTCTACCATCACAGTCCTGAACTCATCGATGCTGCTTTCATCCCGCATAAACCGTGATCGCCTTTGGCAGGGCCAGCCCCGACACGAGACATGAAGAAAAAGACTCTTTCATAACATGCAACGTCTCTACCCAGAGCGGTGTCTGCAATGTCCAATCGAGTCCCATCATGGCTGATGCCATGCCATGCCATGCCAGACGCCTGTGCAGAAACCTTGAACCCAATTGGGAGAAACAAAACGCCTGGCGCAGGATGCTAGTCCATGCGGTGCAGCGCGTGACAGAGCTTCTCATTCCAAAGTTTACTTCAAAGTGTTTGAGTTCAATCTGCGGGCACTTCTGCCTCTCTTGGAGTCTTGTTGTACCTGTTGCTTCCATCTGGGGCCCTGGTCCTGTAAGACTAACCCATCTGGCGGTTTTCTGTCGTCCATCATACCACTCCTTCGGATCGCGGCTTGCTATTAGATGGATCTGAAAATTAGCTCCACCATCCTACATGCCATCTGCTCACTCGACTACTCTGCCTTGCCATCGTCTTTGTTGCCCTCTGAACCGTGGTATAATAGACGTCTTAGGGGTGGCCTGGCGGGGATTGGGCCGTTCAGTAACATCCATTCTGACCGCCCGCATCCGGCAGGGACTTCGTCGCCACGTGGTGAAAGACTCTCTCTCTCTCTTGAACAGGGCTGCTCGAGACGCCGAGACCGCCTCGGGCGATATCAAGAGTAATACGGGCTGATATCTTTGTTGTTGAAGGACTTGACAAGTTATGCTGGCTCTGGTAAAGCCTTGGCCGTTTCTTCGTCAGGGCAGAGAGCCTAGCTCTAGGGCCCAAGCAATCCTTGAGGGCTGCAATAAAATTTCCGGCGGCGAAGTACTCGATCTTGGTGCGGCTACCGCTGGATTGCGGCTCTGGCGCGGACAACAATCTTCTTGCAGTGCATCCGAGTCTGTTCTTGCTTCTGTCAAGTCTCCGAGAGACAAAATCTAAGACGTCCCGTCCGTTTGGTCCAAGATCTCAGTAAGGTCGATGCTCGCGCCGCGCCAGCTACATCTTGAAGGTATTACACAAAGCAGGCGCGGCTCAGGAAACGTGCGCTGATCTGGCTCATCGACGTTCAAGGATCCCCGTAAAAAAAAAGCCACGAGTTGTGCAATCCATCCACAAACGGCCCCCCTGTCGAACGAAACGAGCTGCTCCTCTCATCCTTGCAAGAGCCACGCCAGGAGGCCCGGGATCATGAAGAAGGATCCCGGCTCACTGGAGCATTCGTTTCTGCGGGACTCTTCCGTCGATGCTGCAGGTCTCCTTTAGCGACCCGCAACAACAGCGCTCATTTTCCTACTGGAGCCTGCAATGCTGATCTGAATTATTGTTGGGGAAAAGTCTAGCAGAATGCGACTCTGAGGCAAGACGACAGACTGCCAGAGTCGTGTTCTACTGGCGGCGTTGCAATTGCATGAATCAGGGGGTGACATGCCTCCACCCCAAGAGCGAACGCGTTCGGCCAGGGCCCCCGCTATTCGAAACGAAAGGCTAGCATCATGGTTGTGCCATGCATTGTAAGAAGCCTTGACTACAGAAAAACCACTGATATCGAAAGCAGAAGTATTGGCCAAAGCTCTTCGCGGATAGAATGTCGTCGTATGGCAGATGAAGAAAAGCCCGATACTCGGTGGCTGCGTGGCGAGCCACTAGGTATGGAAGCAACGAAAGAGGCGTCGTCGAGTGGGACGTGTTTCCGCAAGCAACGGGTAGCGATGACCTGCTGAAGGGCGAGGCGCGAGCTGGCTACGGCTGCGGGTGCGACGGCGGGTTCGCGCACGAGAAGGAGGCAACTCGAAAAGCTCGGGGCACGAGGCGTTTCCGGAGTAGGGGCCCGATTGGGGTTCTGTGGCAGCGATCTGGTGTCACGCAGGGGCCTGGAGGATAGTGGCTCTGTCTTTCCGTCTGTTGTGTGGAATGCCACGATGACGCTCCATACTGAGAACGGAGACTCAGCCAAATTGAAGGCTCGACTGGAGCCTTTGAATGATGCGCTGCCCAGGTGTTATTTGACAGCAGAGCCAACAGCAGCTGAGCCAATGATTGGTCCATGGCGTGAACGGGACGGCCGCGGATCTGTCGCAGTCCTATGTTGATTGAGGGCGGAGCCCGTTAATCTTTTGAGTTTGAAGCATATCGAACAAGTCTTTGAAGGTGGTGCAGGTATCCGTAGGTGAGGGCAGGATGAGACAGGCGACGACGTGGATTGGATTGGTGTTTTGGCAGCAGAGCAGACCGTTCGAGGTCGAGAGTTGTTTGAACCGACGCAGCCATGTCCCATTGTACTCTGACTCTGCGAGAGTTTATTGGCTTTCAGCTTGTTTGCTGTGACGGTTGGCTTCTCTCCTTGTGCATTAAGTCACAAGGCGTGGCAGTTTGCAGCTCCCAACCTGCAGTTCTGGGACACTCGGGCCCAATATTGTGCATGCGAAAGGGTGTGCGTCGAACCATGACAGAGGTTTTCTTCGGAAGCACGTCCAGACCGACAGCTGGGAAGGATTCAAGTGGCCGCTAGCACCTGGGGAGCTCAGCCAGACAGCTTAGGTTGAGGTTGCTGAGAGGTACTCGATATGTAGATGCATTCGTGGTGCCTTGAGGAACACGACATGGGTATCGAGAGGGTTGTGAGTGTCGCGTGCGAAGCACTGGGATATGCGGACGAAGTCGATCCTAAGTGAGGGTCAAAGAGAGGGCATTCGTAAGTGGTTCGGCTGGGCCCCGAGGAACCGTCCGGCTCCGAGAAGAAGAATTGGTTTCAACGAACCAGTGGATTGGTTGAGCGACGGATAAATGTCTGAGATGATGGCGGAATGAATATCTGACCAAAGAGGAAGAAGAGGTGTCAGAGGTGGTGAAGCCTGAAGGCGGCATCCGTAGCTTTGCACAGAGGAGAGGAGACGAGGATTGGCGCGCCTTGGTGCCTGTGTAAGGTAGTGTGTACGTACTAGAGCGACTGAACAGCGGACGGTGCGACGGGGAACTGGAGGTGGCTTGCTTTCTAATGCAAGTGCAAGGAAGGCGCGGACAGACTTGAGAGTACCCCGGCACAAGTAGCTGCCAAGTCTCGCGAGATGCAATTCTGCGGCAAGACCGGGCCGGGATGACAGGACGAATCAGACCGACGATACATGCCAGGTACGTCAGGGTGTAGCCCCACTTGCATCCCGTCCTGCTCTTGCCTTAGGTAGGAGTCTAGAGCAAGGTACGTACTCGGGATATGCGAGTTGAGGCAGGTACTGCTGCCACCCCGGCCCAAAAGTTCCGCATGTTCCTGTTCCCGCTCTCCTGTTCAAGCCGCATTTCTTCTTCTTCTTTTTCCCCCCCCTTTCCAACGGATAAGCTATGCTGCAGCTCTAGCAAAGGTTGTTGGTTAGAATGGATTCGGTCATACGGATTCAGCGAGGTAGCATTTAAGGTGGTCGGACTGGCAGTTCACAGAGTCAGGGTCGTGATCGACGTCGTGGTGGTGGTGGGCGTTTATTGTGCGGCTATTTACCTTTGGTGCGCAGTAGTCCGGAGTCTGCTATGTACTGCGTAGTGTACACTATGTAAGGCAGGAACACGGGTACAGAAAATAATCATTCCATCTACACTACCTAAGATAATCCATGCACCCAAAGACACAGCAAAGTCACATCAACCCTGTTCTGTTTGCTTCCATTGCCCATGCCATTGCCAGGAGTCAAGCCCCAGGACAAGCATACCTATTACCCATACCATGCCTGGGGCCAGCACTTGCGTAACTCTCTTTCCCGTCTAATCAATGTACACTACGAAGCGAGGTACCTTTACCCTGCCTTACCACCTTGAGGTACCTTACATATCTAGCCGTCCTCGGTTCATACCTACTGTATCCGTACATACCTTGGCCACGGCAAGTGATGGAACGGGGCACGATGGTACCTTGTCAACGGAGACCATCGACGGAGGCAAGGATGGGGTAGGCACGGAGGGTGCGAAGTGTTGACAGCTAATGAAATTGAATCAGGTAATGAGTAAGGTGCTCACGGTGCCTTATGGATACTGAGGGCCAAGTGGTGAAGAGAGGAGCATGGAGCACGGAGCATACCGCAGTAGAGCCCCCCCCCCCAGATGGATGAGCTGAGGTGAGGTGAGGTGACTGAGCAGGTCCCGACTCCCAGTAGCAGCAGTGGCAGTAATGAAGAGGGTGGTGGTTCATAGTTTACTCTTTGTGCGTGCGTTTTGGTACCAAGTATCTCCCGTATGGATACAGCAGTTTTGGCTTGTTCCTCTTCTTCTGCAGAACATCCCGTCTGTTTCCTCTACTTCGACACTTCTCTCTCTCTCTCTCTCTCTCTTCCTCCTCATTTTCCTTCCAATCTTCCTTTCCCGTTCCGTGCCCGTCCGCCGTCCTCCCCGATCCTTCTCCCAGCACTTGGCCACCCCCATCATATCAATCCCGCTTGGTCATCACCAACATAGCTTAACAGCTTCTGTGTGTCACGTCACGTCTCGTCTCGTCTGGCCTCAGCTTCTTGTCTGCTCCTCACATCATCGTCGCCCTTGTTCCTTTCTCCAATTCCTGCGCTAGCCCGTTAGTTCTCTCCCCTGACCCGCCATTGGCCTCGCTGGGCAGCAAAAACATCTGAGCAGGAGGATTAACATTAGCAACCCGCAGCCCACCGGGCGTCCGCTACGAACGCCCCCAAGAGTTTTAGCGGTTTTTGTTTTTCTCTAACCTGCCAGCGGGAACAAGAACAAAACCGACAAAAGCTTCCTCCGTCCACTCCCGCCCATCCCATTCTTCAAACCTGGACCTCCAAAAGGTGCACAGCCAGAGACAGGCACACCGCGAGCACCGCACCTCACCACACCGCACCGCACAATAGATACTTCATACTGGCAGGCATTGCATTTCGATTCTTCTACTCACGCCATCCGTCCTCGTCGTCGCTCCCGTCGCCTTGTTGTCTCGACTCGACTCGATTTCCAATTCCTCTTTCCCCCCATCCTCCCCGCCTTGCGCCTTGCGCTTCACCTGCGTCACGTTGAGATTACGATCCGAATCGACCCTTTCTCTTCCACCCCGGCCCGGTTAACCTCTCATCGCTCTCGTCTTCATCTCTTCGTCTGATCTTGCCGACCTTCAACGTCCTCGGACCATTGCGAGACCGTTCCCATCCCACCTGGACCTCGACGCGAATCCCCCCAAGAACCCTCCTCCCCGGAACTAGCTGCTCGCATTTCTTCTTCCACCTCGCTTTCGTCTTAGACCGTTGCCATCTCCACCGGTCCGCCTCATTGATTGCCTCTCGGTTTCTGCCCACGCCTTTTTTTATCGACTGAACGCGTTCCATTCTTTCTTTTTTCTTTTTTCTCCAACACTGGTTCAGCGTCACCGCGCCGGCTCGTCGTGCACCCAATTTATTCGGCGATAAACGTCCCTACGCCAATATGTGTTTCGGGGCCCGAACAAAAGATGACGGCGGTGGTGCTCGTTCGCGCGACCTCGACCGCATGATCCGACAAGATGAAAAGCGCCTATCGAAAGAAGTCAAGCTGTTGTTGCTGGGTATGTTGACGCGATCGCTAACTAGCATAATGCATCTGTTCGTGCGCTGACTTTGTTTTCACTTGAATAGGTGCCGGAGAATCTGGAAAATCCACTGTCTTGAAGCAGATGAAGTTGATCTACGCGCAAGGTTTCAGCAAGAACGAAAAGCTCGAATGGAAGCCCGTCGTATTCAACAACATTGTTCAATCATTCCGTTTGATCCAAGATGCCATGACCGAAATGGGAATCGAGTTTAGCAACCCCGAAAATGAGGCAAGCGACCCCTGATAAAGCTCCTGTTGACGCCAATTGCGTGCGACAACCTCGAGACATTCTGTCACTCCTGATGCGATGCAATAAACAGAACGGCCCGGCTAACACATGGTGTCTCTTACAGAAACACATGGCGCATATCCTGGTGGAACACGAGATCAACGCTCAAGACCCTCTTCCGCGCGACTACTTGCAACCCGTCAAAGAACTTTGGGTCGACGGTGGTGTCAAGCAGGCCATAGCAAAGGGCAATGAGTTCGCCCTTCACGACAACCTGGCATAGTAAGCATAGCGACGCATCATCTGCCCTTGCAGAGCCTATGGCTGACCGATATAGCTTCTGTGACGATTTGGACCGAATTTGGGATGCGAGCTACGAACCCACAGACCAAGATTTGTTGCGATCGAGACTGCGAACCACAGGAATCACCGAAACGGTCTTCGACCTCGGTCAGTTGACATACCGTATGTTCGACGTCGGTGGCCAACGTTCAGAGCGGAAGAAGTGGATTCACTGCTTCGAAAACGTCAATTGCTTGCTCTTCCTCGTCGCCATCAGCGGATACGATCAATGTTTGGTTGAGGACAAGGACGGCGTATGTGTGACCGAGTCTATCTTTTTCGTTTCCGGTTTAGCTGACCAACCCAACAGAACCAAATGAACGAAGCACTTATGCTCTGGGAGTCGATCGCAAACTCGCATTGGTTCACAAAGTCCGCCCTTATCCTCTTTCTGAACAAGATGGATCTCTTCAAGGAGAAACTGCCCAACAACCCAATCACGTCGCACGGTTTCACGGATTACCACGGCCCCGCCGAAGACTGGAAGTCTGCCAGCAAGTATTTCTTGGACAAGTTCCGCGCCCTCAACCGAAACACCGAGAAGGAGATCTACGGACATTTCACGAATGCCACCGATACGAACCTGCTCAAGATCACTATGGGCTCGGTCCAGGACATGATTATCCAGCGCAACCTCAAGCAGCTGATACTATAAGGCAGAGCCAGCGATATTGGGCCACCAGGTGGCCCCAGATCATCTTCAACCCCCCACCCCACGGCATGCATGAAACATGCCAACTCTAATCGATACCCGCGGTCTTTCCGGCTTCCCTAAACTCATCACGGCCCCGCCCGGCGGCGCTAGTCATCGTCAACGATTACCGCCTCTTTGTCGTATATTTGCGATTACACGTCTGGGCCTCCCGGTCGCGGTACATCAGCGAGTCCATTGCGGACGCCGGCCCCGATATGGATGTATATTACTCCACTTCCTTTGTGTCTAATTTCTCGTCATCTATTGTTCATATGCCGGCGTTGGTCTGAACAGAGAGTTTGGCAAAAAATTGTGGCTGGATCACTCGGCTATTTTTTTTTTTGCATATTATTATTATCATCACACAGCGGTCGTTGGTACCGGGCAGCCGAGGCCAGTAGAAGAACAGTAAACAAACCACTGCGAGTGGTCCCAACTTGAAGCTTCAAAGTTGAGGCTTATGTGAAGAAAGGAAAGAAGGCGGAGCAGGTTGCGAAGGGTGGTTAGTATGAGACGAAACGGGAGCGTGTGGAGAGAGATGCCGAGCAGAATTGGATTCGCGTAACGATGGATTGATACCTAATCAAGTGTTTCAAAGCTGTGCCGCTCACAGTGGGGGTCAGGGGAAAAGACGTGTGTGTGTGTGTGTGTGGATTTATGCTGCGAGGCGGAAGCGCCACGGGCGACAGAGCAAGCATCTATCTCAATTTACAAGAGAAAAGGAAAAATCAGATAAAACATGTTAAAATCCGTCTGATGACCACCCAATGCTCATGCTCTAAACACGTAAAAGGATCTTGTTCGATGGAGTTTATTTTCGGTCGAGCCTCCAATGCCTAACACTCTTTGTATTGAAGAAACATCAGCCTCAATTTTAAGCTTTCATGTAGGAGTGGCATATCCGACCCCAGGGAATTGGATGGGATCAGACCTGACTGTAACGGTTAAGAATACTACCACACTACGTTGTCTTCTCATTGATACTTATGTCCAGGAGGATTGGTAGCTTGGACTTGTCATGATTTCTGAATGTGCAGTACCCCAAACAGAAAGCTCACAAAGGAAATGTTTCACGCGGGGGAAGGAAGAGCTGATTGACCGGACGAACGTCGAGACCAAGCCAGGCAGGCAGGTTGCCGAAAAGTTGTTGAGTGGATGGAAGAGAGAGATTGGGGCGGCAAGGGTGCGCGTCCGTTACACGTCGTCGGTGTTTCTGATTTTTTGTTTCTTCTTTGGCATTCACCTGCATGTGGCTATCTAAGCTGTCGCTTGGTGTCAGGCAATGGAGGCGGCGGCGGACGGTCAACGGTGGTTGTGAGGTTACCGATTGCCTGGGTTCCTTGTGCTGGTATGTAAATGGCCTGGAATGTAGTGTGTGGCACGGGAATCGCAACGAGTCTTTAGTTAGGTTCGATGCTGCTAGGTTTAGGTGGGTTCAGTTTGCATGCCACGGCAAGCTGTAGCCCGGTTCCCGTAGCGTACCTGAGAGATTCGGATCTTTACGGGGTTTGGAATGTTTGTCTTGGGTTGTTCCCTAGCCTACTACGTAGGTACATTCCTTGACCTGCTCGGCCCGGGTGAGTGTAGGCGTGAGGACGTTCGTCACCACGGGGGATGGGAGGCATGGCGATGGTGTCCATGTTTCCTGTGTTTTGGGGATAGAGAGATGGAGTTGGAGGATTGAAATTATTCAACCTGCTGAGGGCTGTCGTGCTTCAAGGTGGCAGGCGTACCTCGAATGTTCACATAGATCTTAAAAACGGCAATGGGAATTTGGAAGAGTTTAGCCGTGTGCTAAGTGCTTGGGATATTATAATCCTGTATGTATATAAAAGCACGATGATAAGCAAGGATCCTTCTTGGTCACGGAGTAAGGAATGTCCAAGGAGAAAACAAAGTGATTAGCGGCGGTTTGACGCGGGGGAGCACAAAGGCCGATCGGAGCCGGGCCGAACCAATTCAATTTCCCGATAACGGATCGGACAATTCGGAGCCGGGGACGGCACTTCGCACTGTAGGAATGTGTCTCAGTTGTGTGCAGCAAACACAGTGCAAGATGCCGTCATTAGCCGAACCTCAGGGATGAGCTCCGACCGCGAAGCCCGTCATGGCAGCTACCCCGCCGTTATCGTTCCTCCCCCCACCACCACCACCACCACCACCGCGCCGAACCAAACGTCACTCGCAAGTCGCAAGTCGCAGACCCCCTCCTCCGCCCGCCGCTTCGGAAAGCACTCGATATCTTTCTCTCACAATATACAATGCGCCACGCCCTCCGCACCCTACGCACTCTAAGCTCAACAATCACCAACCCCCCAGCTCACCGCCTCGTCCCCTTTCAAAACTTCCGCAAGATGTCGTCCCTCCCGTCCCCGGTGCTCAAAAAGCCCGTCAAGCTAGCCTGCATCCAACTCGCCTCGGGCGCCGACAAGGCCGCCAACCTCGCCAACGCCCGCGCCAAGGTCCTCGAGGCCAGCGCCGCGGGTGCCAAAATCGTTGTCCTGCCCGAGTGCTTCAACTCGCCCTACGGATGCGACTATTTCCCCAAATACGCCGAGACGCTCCTGCCGTCCCCGCCGACAAGGGAGCAGAGCCCCAGCTTCCACGCGCTGGCGGCCATGGCGAGCGAGAGCGGGGCGTATCTCGTCGGTGGCTCCGTCCCGGAGCTGGACGCCGAGACGGGGAAATTTTATAATACGAGTTTGATCTTTTCGCCCGAAGGAAAGTTGTTGGCGACGCATCGCAAGGTGCATTTGTTCGATATCGATATCCCGGGCAAGATCACCTTCAAGGAGAGCGAGGTGTTGAGCCCAGGTGACCAGGTCACCGTCGTGGACCTCCCCGAGTACGGACGTATTTCCGTCGCGATTTGCTACGACGTGCGGTTCCCCGAGCTGGCGGCCATCGCCGCGCGCAGGGGCTGCTTCGCGCTCGTGTACCCGGGCGCGTTCAACCTCACGACGGGGCCGATGCACTGGCGGCTGCTGGGACAGGGGAGGGCGGTGGATAACCAGATTTACGTGGCCATGTGCAGCCCCGCGCGGGACATGGGTGCGACGTACCACGCTTGGGGACACTCGTTGATCATCGACCCGATGGCGAATGTGCTTGTTGAGGCGGAGGAAGGGGAGGGGACTGTTGCGTGGGAGTTGGAGGGTGAGAAGATTGAGGAGGCGAGGAGGAATATTCCTATTAATTCGCAGAGGAGGTTTGATGTGTATCCTGATGTTAGTCAGGGAAAGGTTTGAAGAAAGTGAGGATGGAATGGATGTTGATGTAAGAGAGTCCAAAAGAGATGAGGAAGTGTTTTTGTGAAGCTGGCGGAGCAGATGAGGTGCATATAGAAAGGGGTTCGAGGGGTGTCGGCTCCATGTATACCATTGTGGCGTAAACAAAAGATGGTTGGCTGGGAGGCAAGACGTCAGGTTAGGTATTACGTGCATCAATTATATCTGCCTTGAATTTCAAGAATGGTTCTTTGCGGAATTTTACAGTGATTGAGGAATTTCGTGGTAATTGGTCATTGGAAGCTTCATTTCATGTCAAGTCTCGGAAACTTCAGAGCTACCTATTGTCATCCAAGCAGGTGGCCATAATGAACTTCAGTCCTCGCTGCGGAACAGCCACAGTATGGGCCTATCTGTCACAGTTCGAAACATGAACAATACTCATACGGTCAGCAATTCTGTCTATTGTATTTGTTCAAGAGACGGGAATGGAGTGAACTATAAGAATCGTACACCACCAATGCTGGGATCCCAAAGCAAACGACACCGTGCATCGAGTTTGGCTTCCCTGAATGATCGACGTCATCTGGTCTTTAAGTGTGTGGGGCTAGTTCACGTCAACTAAATAGTAGTCCTCATGAAAGACCAGAAAGAATGCCTTTTCTGCCGTCTTGGTTGAGTAGTAGTCATTCTGATAGCCCATTTGTAGCCGCTGAAGTGTGTACATCTTCCCATGATCAGTACTCCAGAGGAAGCCATACACTATGCACCACCATTATAAGAGATTCCAAGAGAAACATACATCTTCATCTCTTCAAAGCCGTCTGGACCCTAGTCTTACACTCATAACACAAACTCGCCCCATTCACCCTCGCAATCGCCGCCTCGTGCGGCATCAGCGTGGCCATCTTGGCCTGGAACGCAATCGACGCCGCAACCACAAACTCGCTCGGCAACTGGCCCGCAAGCCTCTCCCACGAAGCCGGCGAACAGTTCTGCACAAACAGATCCCGCAACCTCTCCATCAACCCTTCGACGTCGTCGTCCCTCCGCCGGTGAAGGCTCGCCAGCGCGACGTAGCCGTTGGCGAAGTTGAAGACCCACCACTCGGCGCCGTGCTGCTGCTGCTGTGCGTCCCCGCCGCCACCGAGCTTCGTGGCCCCGACGTCGAGCGTCTCCCGAATGGCGGTGGATACTTTGCCCAGAAGCAGGTCGTCGTGGAAGCGGTCGCAGAGGGACCACATGTCGACGAGCTCCGTCAGGTCGTGCGGGGTGTGCATGTCGCAGGGTTTCAGGGAGAAGGGGGACACCTCGTAGTAGACGGCGTCCTCGCCCGGGTGGTCCGCCGCGTTGCGGCGGCAGCGTTTGACGCGTTGAGCTGTGAGGCGGGTGAAGTAGCATAGTTTCACGTAGGTGCCTAGGGTTAGCGGGCTGATGCTGACGTTGGCTTCGCCGTCGTCTGAGCCTGCATCGCCGTCGGTGTCGTTGAGGTCGATTGTGTTTGTGTGGGACTCGGCGAAGGGCCCGTCGAGGCAGCGTTGAAAGTACTTTGATGACTCGACTAGGAGGGACTTGTGGATTGCGAAGGATTGGTCTGAGGTCTTGAGCCAGATTATGGTCTGGGGTTGTCTTGGTCACGGGTCAGTGAGATTTATTATGAGAAGAAGATGTGAGTTTTGCGATTGAGATTTTGAGCACTGATTCAAAGTCCAATGAGAATGCTGAAAAAAGCCGGACGGAAATCGTGGACGCAGGGAACGGGTTTTGTTTGAGAAAAACAGAAACATGGCATGAAGTCCAAGAGTGCCTCAACTTCTCTTCTATCACGAACGCTCAAGACGAGATGATGCTATGGCTTCACTCGCAACAACTCAACAGCACAAACATAATTGTAACTGGATTTCAGGTCCAATCATTATTCAGGTCATTAACTCACCTTAAGAGAGAACCCGCATCGCTCAATTCATCAGGTCTTGGCGCTCCTCGGTCAAGTGTGGTGTTCATGGTGTTCATGGTGTTCCTGTTTCTGCAGGTACATCTACTAATCTGAGATCAGAATACGAATAGGAGAGTGGGAGAAAGAAGGAGCAAAAAAGCCAATTCAAAGTGACGGACATTGCACGGTCGACCCCGCGCGGGATACGGCCTCGGTAAGAGAGCTTGTTCAACTCATCTGATGTTTGGGACCCAATCGGGTGGGTTATCTTGACTCGATCATGCGCGGGTGAAGGGATGATATTTCAGCTACATTACATTTCCATCGACGGGGATCTCTCGCTCTACAGCTGGATTGCAGCTTTTCATCAAGCACACTATATTCTGACGTCACAGTCATACGGTTCTTCGGCAACCTTACACCGTGATCTGTCTTCACCTTATCTACAAACAGCTGTCTCCAGTCACAGTCTGGTTTGCGTATAGAGCTTTGATGCTCAGAGGCTGTGTTCTTCGTTAGCCGATGCATTCAGTTTATCTGGCAATTGATATACTTACGTTCGCGAAGAAGCCCTGGGGATCGTACTTGGACTTGATTTGAGACAGCTTTGCGACGTTGCCGCCATAGTACGAATCAAGCGTAGGAGTAGAAATCGTGTCGTCCATGTAGCCCGAGTAGCTTGCCATTCTGTTATTACTCTCGTTAGTCACTCAGTGCTCATTTGGCGCAAAACACCACAAGAACGAAATAGCTCACCCAACAAGCGGACGCAGGTAGTCCTCCAGGCTCTTGAACCACTTCACATAGCCAGCATGGACCTTCTCATCCGCGGAGCTGGACACAATGAACTCCATGTGCGAATACGCCTGCTCGCGCCACGCAAACGCCGCATCGCCCGCGACCGAAATGTTCCACGCGTGCCACTCAATCCATCCCTGCGCCGCATCGTCGAGCTCGTCGATCCGCGAGATGGCGTTCCTCATCGTCTCGTCTGTGAGCAGCTTATCCTTTTGGACCATGAAGGATTTCGACAGGCGGATGAAGCGCGCCCAGGGCTGTGCGGGAGGTAGCTCGGGCGCCTTTGTCGTCTCGTTGTAGGTGAAGTTTGCGTACCCGGGGATCTGAATAAACGGCTGCTGGATCGTGTTGACGACAAACGGCGCGACTTGCGCGACGGCCTCGTCGGCGCCGCACTCGTTGACGCCGTAGCCGAAGAGGCGGGCGTTGATGGTGTTGCACCCGCCTGAGATGTAGGCCGCCGGTTTGCCAATGGCAAGGAGGCCGGAGGCGTTCACCATGCCCTGCAGCTTGTCGAGCGTGCAGCCGTAGCACCACCCAATCACGTCGGTCCGGTTCTTGTACAAGTTCACCTGCGAGCTGAGGGCGGCGTCCGCGCGGGGCGCCCACTCGTGGAACGTCTTTGCAATATCAAACCGCGTGTCGGAGCCGTTCCACTGCAGGTACACCATGGCGGACCGGGGGAACTCGTACATGCGCAGCGTCCACTCGATGACGATGCCGTAGGACCCGCCGCCGCCGCCGCGGATGGCGAAGAAGAGGTCGGCATTCTCGTCGCGGGAGGCCGTCACGACGCAGCCGTCCGAGGTGACTACCTTTGCGGACTCGACGTTGTCGACGCCGAGGCCGTTTTGGCGCATCTGCATGTTGAAGCCACCAGCGGAGAGGAAGCCCGAGATACCGACGGTGGGGCAGATGCCGCCTGTCCAGTCGAGGCCTTGCTGCCCGAGGGCCGTGTACAGGGCGCCGAAGCGGATGCCGGCGCCGACGGTGGCGGTCTTTTTGTCTGCTGCGATGTTGACGTAGTCGATGTGGGTGATGTCGATAACGAGAGCGTCTTGGAGGGCGGAGTATCCGAGGAAGCTGTGTAAAGTGAGTTACTTTGATACCGCCAGGGGTAGATTTGGAGATGTCCAGGAACTGCTTACTGGTGACCACCGGTTCTGGGGACCGCTTTGATGCCACTCGTCTTTGCGCATTGTATCAAGGGTGCAACTTCATATGGCTTTTCCGCATACGCAATCAACACTGGCATCTGTGTAAACCTGTTGACCATGTGGTGAGCACTTTGTCCTGAATATGGAAGCAGTCTGCCGTTCTCACTGGATGGCCTCTCCAATCCTCGCATCGTGGTATGTAGGATCAGTCGGTGTCACGATGCGCAGGGCTGCGTTCCCTCCAAAAACCTCCTCCACACATGATTTGAGGGCATCTCTTTTGATGCGGGGTGCGGCGAGGACTGCCTGCGCAGAAAGCGCAGCGAGGAGAAGTGGCAGCTGCATGGCGGGGAGCTATGGCGGATTGGCTGATTCGTCGATGAGGGATGGTCTGTGGTTGCAAGATGGCCAGGAAGGAGTTCTTCCGGAAGGTCGCGGGTGATTGTTAAATACATTGCGCCGATTGTCTTTTGGCCCCCCTTTGCTTCGCAAAGAGACCAAATCGAGGATATGTACAGCCTTCTTGTCCTCCGTCTTGGTCCCTACTTGGGAAAAGTATAATACGAAGCACAATCGGTCGATAGTCAAACAAGATGCCAAGGGTTAGGTTAGCGAAATGGACTTCCAAGAACAAAGTCCGGCTTGGGTGAGAGTGGCTGTGATATGTTGGATGCTGTTACCTTGGCTCCTCCGCTAGGGGACGGATGGGAGCCCTGGGGTGGATCCCGTCGCAACGGCCGTTGGTACCATGTGATTGGCTGAGAAGGCACAGCCTCCGTCCGAGTCAATACGGAAGACTCCGGGGAACATCGGAAGTATGCTTTGTAGAAGAACAGCCAGCAGCTCTTGAAAAGACTTGGCTGTTAATCCCGGAGATTCCTCAAATTTTAAAGCAAGCGAAATTGCCTCGAGCGAACAATCGCAAATTCTAGCATCTCGGCGACCAGCACCCTAGGTTGGCACGAGAAGACCACCAGATAAAACAACAGAGTCGCGTCAACATTGGCATCCGTTTTGCCATAGCTCGCGCTACCATGCAGAGAGAAAGACAAGCAATGGTGGCACGCCAAGAAAGAAAAATAAGGACAGAAGAGCGGACTGGCAGAATCTAGGCTTCCTGCCTTCTAGGTACCTCAGGCAAGCGCCTGGGGAGACTCCTTAACCTGGGCATGGAGCGTTCTGCAATCCGTCAAGTTGAGCACAGGGAGCATCAAAAATCAGTGAAATATTTCAACTTTGCTGCGAAATATACGTCGAATACCTCAAAGATTCTTTTACTTATCTCCAGAGCACTGGCCCTATCGCCACCACTTTTCCCACTTTTACATGAGTCTACCAACAGTGCTTGCGTTCAGGTGGCCCTTCAGTCTTAACAAAAAAGGGAAGCCCACGACGCTTAGGATGAAAGTAAGACTTGAATGCTGAGAGTAGAAGCATGTAAACCGCCAGGATTAGACTGTTTATGTTAGAAAAGACAGCTGTTGCCCAGGAGATGGGTGTCGAGACGTGGTGATGATAAGAATTAGGCAGAGCTAGAGGGTTTATGGTGGAGGTTTTCTAGATCCGTATCCATTCTCTGAACAAGGGAAATAAATTTAGCTACCGAAGGGTCACGCGACATCGACATGGTCATGGTAGTTTTACAGCCCGTTTGCGTATATTTACGGCACAGCAATCCACCCGGACCCTCGGAGAAGGCATTGCATGACGTACGTCACCGGGAACCGACGGTGAAATAAAGTCAATTATCATGCTGTGAGACGTTCTAGAAGTTCTCTATGCAATGTCTGTTGCATCTTGCAACCGCACACTTCAAGGGAAAGTGCAGGTGCCCAAATGGCATGGAGACAATATACGAGAAACAAGCTACTAGCATGTTTACCTCCGATGAAGCCAAGCCATCAAAAAACTTCCGGCGGAGTCCTTCTTACCCATTTGAAGATATCCTCAAACTCTTCTTTACTTTAAGTGATCGGCGGAACACTAGCAGCATGGAGCCTATGAAATCGAGATGTCCAAGGCGCAGGCGGACCTTGGCCGCGCAACCATGACTACCCAAGCCCTCTCCGTCGTCCGAACCCCAGGGCAGAGAGACCCAATTTCGTATATCCCATATGTGAAAGTGATCCCATTAAGTTAGGCTTCATTAATACTATCCTTAAGGATCGGCGGAGTCAGGCGCTCGCGATCTCCGACGGGCTGAAGTATATCGACCAGGAGACACTGGGAGTCACATCTGACTGCTCCCGGGAATCCCCAAGCTGAAATAGGCATATGCAGGATCTTGAAGTCACGGGATTTCAAGATTTATGCAAAGAAAACCTTAGAATCTTCATACATGTGCCACTTCAAGCACCAGTTTCGATGGAGCGGCTCATACCCCAGATCGACGAGGCTAAATCATCCCTTGAACCCAACACCTGGACATCACCGCATTCCGAGGCCTTTCGGAGGGACGTTCTGTTTACCCACCGGAGCAAAAGAAATCGTTCTTCACCGAAAATTCAACTTGTTTTGGCTGGCCTTGGCTACGCCATGGAGTCCATCTCAACATCCACGACGAAGGTATCTGTTGTTTTGTTGTTGTCTCGTTGGCTTCGGACGGACCTCCGCCGTCGGGCAGCTCTCAGCATTCAGCTTGAAAATTGTTAATTTGGTGAACTTAAGAAAGAATCATACCCTCTGGATCAGTTTCTTGGATGAACCCACCGGTATTTCCGTTTTTTCCTCACTTCGAGTACATCCGCGAGCCCGTCTGGCTCATACACCGGTTACATTCGTTTCTCTGCCGGTTCAATCGTTGTTCACTCCTCGAATCATGTTGATTATTCCAGCACTGTTGGTAGCATTGATACTTCTAGCAAGATGGTATTCCAAGCCTAAGACGATTCCCGCCTACAATGGCGAAGGCTTCTTCTCCTTCCTCAGCGATGCCCACGACTACGCAGTCAAGCCCATCTCGCTCATCCGTAGAGCTCAATCACAATGCGGCAACATCTTCTCGATTCAGATCCTGACGGTCCACAATGTCTGGCTTCGTGGAAATGAGCTCAACAAGGCTTATCTCGACATGCCCGAGAAGGCTTGGTCTTTCGGCCATGGAATGGTGAGGTCCCCCTTCTCCCAGATAAGCCACCTCAACCCCAGATTTTGAGACATTCAAAGGTCCGACTTGTCTCAACTCACATGTGATTCTTAGGGAATATTTCTCAACAAGATCCTCGACCCCGGATACATGGATAACATCAGGGCCATGGTCGGCTCCCTCAGCCGATACATCAACCGTGCCACGGCGCAGGCGCACATGGCCAAGTGCACCGTGGAGGAGACGCACCGATGCGCGCTCGAGTGGACGACCAAGACCGACGTGGAGCTCTTTGACGGAGTCTCCGAGTTGACGCACAAGGTCATTGTCAGGACGCTGATGGGCGATGACTTTTATGAATCCAGCGGAGAGCTCCTGGACCTGTTGCACGCGATGGAGTCCGACATTGGCAGCATCTGGTCCTTTGTGCTGCCCGACTGGGTGCCTCACCCCCCGGCGAAGAGGCTGCATCGCGCTCGCGAGCGTGTGAAGGAGATCTTTTGGGAAAAGCTTAGCCAGCGACATGTCGCGGCGAAGAATGGTGACCTCGAGACTGACCTGCCGGACTACATCACGCATACGCTGCATGAACAGAGCATGGCACCTTTGAGGCACTATCTCCCTTCTCATCATACTGTTCTGATGTTTGCTGCTCACACGTCCACAGTCGCTGCAATCTCTTGGGTCGTTGTGTGCGTACGTATTGTTCATCGCTTCATGTGGATTGAGCAACAAGACTAACGAACGTCTCCCAGCTTTTACGCCATCCTGATGTCATGGCCGCCGTGAAGAGAGATGCCCGTAACGGAAACACCGACTCGGCGCTCTTACAGGCCTGCATCAAGGAGACGATGCGCTACTACGCGGGCATGAAGTGCCTCCGTCTCGCGATGCAAGAGGTGCCTGTACCAGGTACAGACATCACCGTACCAAAGGGTTCAGTCGTGTCCATCTCCCCCTACTTGACACACCACGACCCCGCCAACTATCCGAACCCGGATGCCTGGATGCCTGGACGCTGGCTCAACGCCGAGAACAAGCTCGTCAACCTGGAAGAAAAGGACGGCAACGGCGTGAAGAGCATGCTGTTTGGCGGGGGGAGCCATCGATGCCCCGGCGAGAAGATGGCCATGATCATTGTGACGCAGACCTTGACGACGCTGCTGCGATCTTATGATGTTACGTGGGCTTCGCCGGACCAGCCTCAGACTGTTGACTTTGAAGGCCTGGATTTTGACAAGGTTGGCTCGCCTTGGCTGAAGGTAGACTGTCCAATATTCTCGGGGAATCCATGTTGCTTTTGCTGACATCTTATCAGGGAGACTTGAAAGTGAAGGTTTCTAGGAGGAAGTGGCCAGAGATTATGGCGGGCTGTTGAGAGACTTGTGGTTCACAGCCTTTGATTGAGAGAGTAATCAACTAATAATGATCAAGTGACATTTGGCAGTGGTAGAATTGAGACTCAGGGAGGTTATGATAATTAGACCCATCTATAAATGAAATAACTATCGTGAATACTGTAACATCAAACACGTCTCCCAATTGTGCCTCATTCGCACCGAAGTCTAATGCCCCTTCGCCACTAGATATAGATGAACCATGTGCAAAGTCGCTAAGTGATACGTCATTGATGCTTATAATCTGCCGGTGGCATTTCAATCTCTCTACACTAGTGATCACCAAGCTTCGCCGAGTAAAATTGAGTTTGGTCATATTTCAGCGTTACACGAACGCAACCTAGTTTAAACTTCTGGATCATTGACCTGCCTGTCAGCAGAAAATCTCCGTGGAGGGGTACACATGCATCCAGATGGGGGCGGAGGCCAGTCCTCTTTCATCCGGAAGAAGCAGGGGTAGGGAAGTCTAAGCATGCCTCTATACCTCCGCGAGCTTAAGCAATATGTCGGAGAGGGGCACGGAGATGGAGAATGCAAACAAAGACTGCAGCTCTTCTCGACGTCAGTTGTTTACTTTCTGCTGGCTCCTCCTTTCGATCGAGATTCGCAATGCTTCGAACGAGCCTTGTTGCGCAGCCGCCAAGCCATGAATCCTAACAACTGCCCCGCCGCTAGGGGCCAAGATGAGGCCAATGTCAACGAGGCACGAAGAGCAGGAACAAGTTTTAGAAAGATGCCTTGCTCCCTGAATCCTACATGCGCGGTAATGATGGTGATGTTGAGCATTAGAAATAGCTTCAGTAACAAGTTAATGCAGTTTTGTGAACTACTAGAATAAATGCCTAAGATATGTCTAATTTACCGACGCACCAACACGATTCGACCTGTAGATGCAATCAACTCCAAACGCCCTCAATAATGCCGCCAATAACACCATAAATCACATTGCCATCCATCGCTTCCAATGCATGCTGGCCTAAGAGAACAAATCCCAACAGTAAACAAAAACAAGTAATGAAGCCGCCAGGACTTCAACCAGGAAGGCAGCCTCCAAAATGCCATAATCATGCTAGACCCTGCAAACACTTTCTGAAAATGCCGCTCAGCTCGCCCACGTGCTGAGGCTCAAACGCGCCATCGTGGTCGCCGCTAAAGGGCACCGTCTCAAACTTGGCAAACTTGTCCGCCTCCCAGCACATGGCCTTCTCGCGCATGACGGAGCGGACAAAGATGACGCCCTCGCGCTCTCGCTGGGTCAAGTTAGGGTCGTCAAACGGGTCGGGCTTGCACTTGATGAGGACGGTGTGGAAGTCGGAAACACCGTCTTTGGGGAGCAGCTGGCCCGGCTCGACGGTCGAGATGAGGCCGAGGCCTTTGTGGATGTGCTTCTTGATCTTTTGCAAAAAGTCGCGGACCTGGTCCGGCTCGTTATCGTCTAACTCTTGTTCATCCTGGTCCGCCTCCTCGTCCTCGTCGCCTTCTTCTTCATCTTTGTGTTTGGCGACCTCGAGTTCGTGGGCGGCTGTCAGGATCTCAGCGTCGATTTGATCCTCGGTAGGAAAGTCCTCTAGCATTCGATTTTGCTCGGGACAGTATTCTGATCCGGCGTCACTGCTGCACGCTGGCGACCCTGGGGTGCTCGGGGACCAAGCCGGACTGTCGTCTTCGTAATCGCTCGAAGTGCTGCTTGAGTATGAGACCTCTGTTGTAAAGGTTCCCCACGTACTCGTTCGGTTCTCACTGGGGGTAAGATAGTCTCCGAACTCGCTCTCGCTGATGACGGGTGATCCGATGGGAGAACAGTCGGCGTCCATCAGCCTGATGTCGGCAGCAACGGTTCTGGTAAAGGTGAGGTGGGTGAGGGAGCGATGATCCTTGGCGCTGGGGAACGAGGGGAAGGTCTCTGGGTTGGCCGAGTCGAGCATGATTACCTTTGTAACCTTTTCTCCCTGGTCGCGCAGGACCATGGCCATATTCATGGCGATCATACCGCCCATTGACCATCCTCCCAATAAGTAAGGGCCCATCGGCTGGACTTCTTTGATCTTCTCGACGTAGAGTGCAGCGAGGTCTCGCAGTGTTTCGGGGAATTCAAATTCATCGCCTCCAGGGCAATGCATAGGGGAGGTGATGCCGTATACTGGCCTCTCATCGTCTTCGCTGAGGGCCTCAAGGCGGAGAAAGGGTAATGCGAGCCCTGAGATGGCGTGGCACATGAAAAATGGTGTAAGGTGGGAGTCTTCGTCTCCTTGGAGAAGAGTGATGACCTCCATGTTGGTAATAACGATGCCCGTAAATGTGAGTAATATGATGAGTTAAGTTAGAGAAGGTAGTTGTCGTGATCTTAGCGAACGCAGAGAGTGATTAAGTCTTGGCCAAAAAGCTAAGCTTTGGTGAGTAAAAGTAAAATATCTTTTGATCTTGATGAGGCCGGTCAACCGGCGAGATGCTCACGAGAACCTTTGACGACCGAGTGCGCCGAGAAGCTTGTTGATGACCTTCTGGAAGCACTCTTCAGCCTCCTCCAAGACCAAGTCTTATATCGAACATTGCAAACCGAATCTGTGATGGCAAAAGATTGCAACCCGTGATGCAAAGTGGCAATGAAATCTCACGACCGAGATGACAATGTCAGACTCCAGCCGCGCTGGATTGTGTTCCAGAGAAGATTCATCTCGTAGCCTTGAAGCGTGGGAACGCTCCGATAGTAACAAAAGATGCTAAGGAGATGGCACGGATACCCAAAGGACCACTTCCAGGCGCCATCCGCTTTCTCTTCAGACTCATCGGAGGTTCTCCATGGCTCACTGGACAACCACGGCGGTGACTAGGAGGACCAGCGCGTGGCGAGTGATTGATCCGCAGCCGTGGAAACATCAGAAGGCTATTCCCCAGATGCTCCTTGGTGTCCTGCGTCGACGGCGTTAAGCATGGCATCGGTCTTCGGGAAACTTCATGAGCGCGACGCACACGAGCGTTGACAGCTTGATTGGATCGAGATCCGTGTTAGGGGTTCCTGTTTGAAGTCGTGTGCTACCATGACGACATCGCGACAACAACTATAGTCTCAAAAGAGATGTGGGTGTGTCTCCGGCAGTGGAACCTCGTCCCAGATTGTCGGGTATGCGACAACGTTGGCAAAGTCGTTTACTATTCCCGTTCATTTCTTCCTTCCTCATATCGATTCCGACCGCACATATGTCGTTAGGCTTCACTCACATTCAAAACAAAGAGACATGGAGAAAACAGACGAAATGCAAGACGAGTGCTGTCGATCTCACGGAGACCAAGTGTGGCTTGGCCACTAGTCACTCCGCAAAAATAAACCTTCTTGTTCTCCCGAGTTGGAGTTTTGCTCGATGACATTGAAGCCTCCGAGAGGGGACGGAAACGGAGATCAGGGCCACGCTGACTGCCAGACTTCCTCAGGACCACCTCCGAAGATAAGAAATGTTTAAGAAGGGGGGCCTGATCACAGTCTTATGACATTTTGAAACTCATCAGCTCACTCCTTCCTTTACCTCACCCATTCCTCATAATAGACCCTCGTCCTCCTGCTAAGCACTTGCTCCGAGATCCATCCCAAAACATCGACAAGATGCAGCTCTCCAAGTTTGCAGCACTGCTGCCTCTCTTGGCCGGCTCGACTGAAGCAGGCAAGATGAGGGCCCCTCGCAGCTGGGCCGCTGATCGTTTCGATATGCAACTCACCTGGAACCAGTTCGGGTTCCTCTCCCACCAGAAGATCGGTAACCCTCCCCAGGAAATCCCCATCTTCGTAGATTGGACCTGGATCAGCCAGTACATCCTCTCGCCCAAGTGCTACGGAGAAGAAAACGACCCCTCGGCCTGCCTCAACGCGCAGCAGCTCTACTACGACCCGGCCAAGTCGACATCTCACCGAGACGCATCGAAGCGTTTCCCCAGCCGCACGTGGCTTCCTAACCATTTCTTCTTCTGGGAACCTCTCACGGTCGACTATGCGCAAGATGCTGTTCAGATCGGCCCGGTGACTTCAAACTCGATTATGCAGTTCTCTGACACCAACTTTGATCTCTCTGCTTTCCCGTACCCCTTCACTGGAGTTTTGGGTCTCTCCCCTGTTTTCAAGGGCGATAACGGTACTAGCCCAAGAACTGTTGATGGAGCTTTCCATAGGCACCTTTGACTGACTCGTTCTCAGCTTCTTTCCAGTCGCCATTCTACCAGCAGTGGAAGGCCGGCCAGTGGAAGAACCCGACCATCAGCTTCGTCTACTGCTATGAGGAGTCCATGAAACCCACCTGCGGCGGCAGCGACGGCCTCCAGTCCTTTGGCGGCATCATGGACCAGGTCGTCAAGGACAGCGAGATCTACTGGTACGCAAACTACGTCTTCCCCGACGTCAACACACTGGCCTTTGAGTACCATCCGGGCCTGTACAACTACTGGGCTACCCCCCTCGACTCGCTCTGGATCGGAGACGAGCTGCAGCCCACGGAGCCCACGTCCAACATTTCGGGCAAGGCATCCATCTTCGACCACGCCTCGTACGGGCGCGGCATTCCCCTCACCCCCAACGCGTACGACAAGCTCGTCAACCTGACGGGTGGCCAGCCGCTCACGCTCGAGGACCCTACCATCATCAACAACGGCAACCAGTCCATGTACTCTGTTGACTGCGGCAACATCGCCTCGTTCCCCACCGTGAGCTACAAGTTTGCGGGACACGACAAGGTTTGGACCAACACGCCGAAGCACTACGTCGAGACGCTGCCAGACGGGAGGTGCGCTCTGAATGTGCGCGCCATGGCCACTGGAGACAGATTTATTGGAAACTTTGGCGAGACGTTCTTCAAGGACAAGGTCGCTATCATGGTGTGTTTTCGCGATGTTATCTATCAGTGACATTGCCCGTGATGCTAATGGTTTCTCCAGAACTTCGAGACCCTTCAGGTCGGTATCGCTGAGATTCAGTGGTAGGCAATCCAATGTATGTCATATTCAACCGCTCGTGGGACTGACGAAGTCAGGCCCTCGGCATAAGGTACTCCTGAAGGCCTGTAGTCCACCTGGTGAGGAATGGGTCGAAGCCTCGGTTCTAGCGTGGGAGTTGAGTACTAGTTAGCATCTTTGTGGAGCAACGGCATAGAACATCCGGGTTTGTAACGGTAAAATCCAATAATAATTTTCAGGAACGAGTTGCTCTTTTCGCGATATCTGAGTCTTATCCTCAAGGAGTGATCGTTCATGTACGCCCACTACAGTGAATCTGGATAATCGACGGTGGCTTGAGGGAGATCTCTGCTCAAAGCGGCACGGGGTGGGGAGGCTCATTCAAGAAGCGAGCAGGCACCGACTGTTTCTAATTTCGGAACTGCCGGATCCATGTGGGAATCTATCCCGAAAGAGTGGGCCCGGCCCGGCCCCGATCGGGAGTCGCCTTTTTGGGTTCCTGGGGGGGCTAGCTTCCCCTTCCCCCAAGTTGATCTCCTACCTAAGGTATGATACCTTACGAATTGCGAAGTTATCTTTGAATGATCACAAAGTTCCTTCAATTTAGAAATGTCACCGTCAAGCCATGAACCATCAGTGAGTTTCCATCGAATTGCCCAGCCACAATGCCGCTTGCTGGAGCACTGCCTCATCCTCCTGACGCCTCTGCAACCATGAAAAGCGACAGCGCTAAGTGAACACGCCGGTACCTCTTGAAAGTATCATACATTTTATAGATCAAGAGACGTGAAAAGGAATTCACTATTGCAGCTAGGAAATCGGTTGAAGTTGCGACGGAAAGTCGTGTTTGACACCTGGAAACCCTCAAAGAAGTAGTGGAGAGTGGTCTTCAGCAATGAATGAGACTCAAGGCAAACCTGACTGTTTTTGCTACAAGGGATTCTCTTGAATGGGTTAATCTATCTAATTATACCTGACTTACCAAGACTAGACTCGGGAGTTGTTTGCTCTAGCATCGGCAAGTTCGAGGGCAAGTAGACTAGAATTAGAACGGGAGTAAGTAATAGGGGACGTTCCATCTCTAGTAAAATGGGGGACTTCCAAGATCGCTTGATTAGGGAATTTCATCACCAGTGCGATGTGGCACTCTTCGCAGTTTCCGGCACGGTGATTAAAGAATACGACTTAGTGCCTGTTTTGATATTTACGTGTCCCCCAGCACCTCCGCATACCCCTCGAACTAACGGACCGGCCGCCGCTGAGGTCCTGTCCGGAACGGTGCGGCACAGCCCCCGAAGCCGGAATCCATATCGAAGTCCATCAAGTCTAATAAAGAACAAACTCGGCCGGCCTAAGCCTTAAAACCCTTCCGTCTTAGCTCTTAGCCCATTATTTTCGTCGGTTGTTCCGCTCCAAGACGGCCGGGGCGACTGAGTAGTTTAATGCCGAAGGAACGCGGATAAACAATGGCGTCCCCATCCCATGATTGGATCTCACGGTGATCTTTCAAAACACATTGAAGAGCAATACATAAGCCGCCTCTCAACTGCCGTGAAAACCGACGGAACTCCACTGCTCATATAGAAACCCATCATCCTTCGTTCGGCCCGATATTATCAGTCACACAGGCAACTCAAACATCGTCATCCTCTCAAGGGGAACGTTACGCGCTAACCCAAATCCTGCATCCCTTTCTTTTCTCAACCATGTCATCATCTCCAGTTGACGCTGAGGTCCTCATCGTCGGTGCCGGCATCGGCGGTCTCACGCTGGCAGCCATCCTCTCGCGCCTCGACATCTCGTGCAAGGTTCTCGAGCGAAGCGAGGTGCTGCGCCCCGTCGGCGCGGGCATCTCCCTCTCACCCAACGGCCTCCGCATGCTCGACCAGCTCGGCGTGTACGAAAAAGTGCTGGACGCGGGCCAGAAGTTGCGGAAGGTGCGAATCTGGCGCGGTAAGAAGCTCTGGAATACAGTGGACTGGGCGGGCTGCGAGGCCAAGTTCGGGTATCCGGTCATGTCCTTGGAGCGTCACCACTTTCACAGACTCCTCTTCGATGCTGCGGGAGGTGATGATGTTGTACAGTTCGGCACAAAGGTTGTTGATGTCATTGACGACCCAAGTGAGCCCGTCGTCAGAGTGGTCTCTGATAAGGGGAAAGAGTTCCGGGCTCACGTCGTTGTTGGCGCTGATGGGATACGATCTGTCATCCGGAGGTGCCTGGCGCGAGACGCTGGTCTCAAGGAGGCCAACACCATCAAGTTCACAGGGCGCGTCCACATGAGCGGCATCACCGCTCCGCTGGAGCATCTGAGTACTCAGGACCTTGGTGTCGCGAACTGGATGCTCTATGAAAACTCGACTCTCACCACTTGGCCATGTCCTGACAACCGACAATGGTTCATAGGTGTCACGGTACGAAAAGTCCTCCGTGCTCCTACGCATGCCGGTAGGGGGGTCCTCAGCTAATCTTGGCAAAAACCAGAAAACTGACGAGAAGGTCGATAATGACCGGTCTATCTGGAGCAACTGCGACGAAGATACCATCAATTCAGTCTACGGAGATAAGTTCCACCCGTTCGCGGAGAATGGGGAATTTAGCGATAGTAAGTTCAAAAGCTGAATCCCTCCTGTTTCGCTGACGACATTGCTGGGTGGCTTGAAGGAACGCCCAATCTGACGTGTTTTTGTTCTAGTTGTCGAGAAGAACGAGCGTATCCTTGCTTGCAACATGTTCCAAGAAGTCGAGTTTCCCTCAATGGCCCGAGGTAGAGTCTGTCTAATCGGCGACTGTAAGCTCTTCCTCTTCTCTCTCTCTCCCCCCCCCCCCCTATCTCTCCATAGCCTTTCTTGCCCGCGATGGAGAATCAACCTCACTAACTGGTTCCAACAGCCGCGCACAGCATGACCAGTGCCTTGTACGTATTTGCGGAAACGCGCGCCCCTCCTAAGAATCCCTCCGTTGCAGATCACGGAGCCTAGTCTGGAAGCTAAGCATCTAGATTGGGGCTGCTCCCCCCCAGGGGAAGACTTTCCCATTCATCCCTCTCCCTAGTTCCAACGGCATTTCACTAACTTTTGACAACTCTCTTGAATAGCGGCCAGGGCGGAAACCTAGCGTGAGTTTCCCCATGCTAGAGATCGAGATTGAGATGTGAAAGTGATTGAAGATGCTAATTCGAGACATTTTCAAACGTAGAATCGAAGATGCGGCGGTCCTTGCTAGCCTAATCCAGGAAAACCGAGGTTCTTTGGGAGAGGAAGCGGAACCAATACTCCAAAAGTACAGCCAAATGCGAGAAAAGAGGGCAAAGGAGGTGGTCAAGTTCAGTTTCCGCTTCATTTTACTACACGGAGCTTTTCTGCCCTACGGCATCGGACCGTTGCTGCGGTGGTTGATCTATGCTTTTCTGCCCGGCGGCGCTTGGCTATGGTTTCTCGAGTTCCTGTATGGGTTCCAACCCACTGTACCGCATTTAGACTCTGCATCGCCAAAGACATGAGATAGAAGAACATTTATTATTCTGCCTAGCTCGTATGGGTCTATCTCTTTTGGGAATGCAGTTGTTCAAGATTGATGTTTCATTCATTCTGGAGTAATCGCCCGAAAGTCCTATGACGGATGGCTGTTGGGTCAGATTTAGTGGATGCCTGGAGAGAGGAAAGACAAGACACACAGCCACGGGCGGGCTCACAGAGTCGTCTTTTCTTGTCTTTTCGCGCTGCGTGGGGGGGAACAGGGATAGTTTCGAGAAGCAGGGGTTTCAATTACACTAGGACTATTCCAGCTGGGCTACGACTTTGACTTGCAGGAGTACCCGTGAATACACGCAGTTGCAAAAGGACTCTTGTCGCTGCCTCGAAGTAGTCATGTACCTCCGCGCTTGTTGTTGTTGTGCAGCTTTTTGCATAACTTGAGGGCGGCGCAGCAAGCGCGACAAGGTCGGCTAACTCGTCTTGGAGTCGGACTCGAGTTGCCGACTTTTGGCCCCCAAAACTAGTAAGATTGAGGCAGAGTAAGTTGGGTACATGTAGACATGCACGAAGTCGAAAAGCCCGTCCCACAACCACAACCACACAATGTCCAAATCTGATGGGCTTTTGCTGATGGTAGTAAATTCTACATGTACATTCTCAGTTTCCCAAAGTTGCACCCCATGGTCAACAATTGAACACCCCCCTTCTTACATCAACACCTCCTCCGTTGACTGTTCACCCCCTTCGAAGCCTCCCCGACACTGTGCTCTAACCCCTGTTTGCATCCTTCAACGGTACCTTGCCTCGTCTCATCTTGTTCCAACGCTGGCTTACTCTGCAGACTGAAGTTATAACATCTCAAAGAAACCACCAACCACTACAATGGATCATGTTGGTATCATACTTTGCCACTGCAGACGAAAGGGTTGAAGAAGACGAGTGACGCAGCTTTTCAAAACTCCCTCTTTTCTACTTCAAACCTTTCAAGCCTCTCTCTCTCATCTATCCAGACTACCACCAATCGTAGTCGGCGGCGGCTCACTCCAATAACACACCGTCTATCTCTCGCTTCCCCCCTGCATTGGTATCAATATACTATTGTACAAATAGAACCGATGTGTATTGTATAATATCAGTTCCCCCTTTCTTTATCAACTCCCAAAAACCTAGACAACCATACCCCATCATGTCTCTCACATCCCGACACCCGCTCCGCAAGAGCTGCAGCTTCTGCCGCGCACGCAAGATCAAATGCAGCAACGAGACCATCTGCGAAGCCTGCCGCAAGCAAAACGTCGACTGCGTCTACGACTGGGACTCGCGGCCGCCAAAGACCCGCACCGTATCCCAGGATATGAGCAGAAACAACAGCACCGGCGGCGACAGCAGCGGCGTACCTGTACAACAGCGCCAGAGAGCCTCAACGGGTGGCTCGCCGCATTCCACGACCATTATGGAGGAGCCTGCACAGATGGAGGGTACGGGTGGTGCGGCACCCGTGGCCCTCATGGGCGGCGGCGAGGACGTGGCTACCATGCTCAACAGCATGTTTATCGAAAACTTTGGCGAGAACCCGACGCCTGGGCCCAAGTCGAACCCGTGGCAGGAGAGGATATCGGCGTACAACCAGACTCTGCGCTTAACTTTGCAGGATCGGAGCGAGAATGTCGTCAACTCGAAGTTTAGTCATCGGGATGTCAAGGTATGGGTCCAAGACTCCCGTCTGGATTGTACGAAGCTAACTTGACTCAAGTACACCGGCATCTTGCAGCTTCTCACTCACGACTTGGTCGGCCTTGTAGTTGATAAGTTTGGCGGTTTGGGATCCATCTTCATGGAACAGGGCGGCGGCAGATTCTACCTCACAGGACTCGCGAGCGACGCCACACCATCGATGTTCGATACAACACCGACAGGACCAAGCCCTCTGACCGACTACGGCACTCGGCAGATTGGACAGCTGGTCGACGTGTGGTACAGCGTCCACCCTCTCTCCTTCCTCGTTTCCAAGACCCTTCTTCTTCGTGAACTGAGAGACGGCACACACGATGAGGTCCTTCTGGCAGTGATCCTCGCTGACGCCTCCTTCTCTCTCGGCGACGAGGTAGCCATGGCGAGAGGACACGTCCTCCTCCGATGGGCCTCAGCCCAGCTCCAGAACCGACCCATCTCAACCCGGGTCAGCCAACCGGGCATGCCCGGCGCCGGTATCTCCCTCCCCGGCATCAGCACGGCACAGGTCCTCATGCTCCTGGGCTGGAACAGTCTCTGCCAAGGGCAGATCAAGCGCGCCACGTGCTACATCGGTCTCTCCGGCCGCCTGGCGACCGAGATCAAGGACACCATCTCGGCCTCCTCTGCACCCCTGACGACGAGCCGCATCAACGGCATCGACGTCTGCGAGGTCGAAAAGGAAATCGTCGCCTACCTCTACTGGACGACTTACACCCTCACCCTATGGACCTTCTTGCAAATGGGCACCCACTTCTCGCAGCTTCTCCCCACGAGCCTCACCTCCATCTTCCTCCCCGTCGACGAGACCTCGTCCGTGCTCATGCGCCTCGACGAGGTGTCGGACAACTTCTCCACGCTGCAGAAGCAGAAGAGCATGATCAAGGAGATGTGGCCCCTCGCCCACATCGCCTCCATCACGGCCTACATCTTCGCCCTCTACCCGCAGGAGCCCGACCCCAACGAGACGGTCAGCACAAACTTCTGGCAAGAGGCCCCCTTGCTCGCACTCCAGCGCATCCAGCAGGGCAGTACGCCCCAGGACATGGAGTGCGTCTGCCGCGAGGTCTACCGCGTCCTGATGGAGAGCATACACCTCCTCAACCGCCAGGTCGCCCACGCGCCCTCCCGCTCCCTCGTCCTGTCAGTCTACCACACCATGGCCATCCACCTCCTCTTTCCGGCCATCCTTCCCGGCGCCCCGCCTCCGGCAGAGCCCTTTTCCCTTACAGCCGAGACCGTCGAGCGCTTCATCGGCTCGGCGCAGGAGCTTGTGGGCATCATGCTCCACATCGCAGAGCAGACATCGCAGGAAGGCCCCGTCATCATGCCTGCGCAGAGCAAAAACTCCTTCCCCGACGTCTTCTGCCTGGCACTAGACACCTGTGCCCGCGGCCTCTCCTTCATCTACGCGCAAAAGCAAGCCGGCGTCCTCAACATGGAGCCGCAAATGATTGCCGTCTACGAAGGCCGCCTCGAGGCCCTAGCGTCCCGCCTCTTAGGCATCGCGGCTTCCGACTTCCTCTCCCCCGGCGGCCAGGTCCGCGCCATCAAGAAGCACCTCAAGGCCGTCATGCGCGCGTTCGGCGGTGACGTTGGCAGAAGCAGCAGCAGCAAGAGCAACAGGAACAGCACGGGAAGCGGCATGAGCATTCCGATCAGCATCAGCCATCACACGCGCTCCGACTCGTATGCCTCCTCTTCGTCCACCACGACCCACTCAATGTCACGCCGCAACTCCTCCCTCCCGCACACCCCGCCCCAGCACCACCACGACCACCCGTTTTCGGGCGCTCCGACGGCCGTGGACTCCGCATCGTCCTTCATCAGCCCCATGGACACGTCCATGATGCCGTCCGTCTCGTCGTCTTCGTCCGCAGATGACTCCATGACCTCGACGAGCGAGCTGGCGACCCCGTTCAACCCTTTCAGCCCCGGAGACAATGGTCACAACAAGCACCAACAGCAACAGCAACACGACTGGCGCGCCGCAGACGAGCTGTTCGCTCACGTCATGGACCCCGCGGCGCTGGGGGCCCCGACGGGGGATCACCACCTCACGCTCGCGGACCTAGTGGACTGCCAGGCTGGCGCCGCGGGTTGGTTCCCAGACCACAGCGGCGGGCAGATGCTCGTCGACTTTGACATGGGGGCGGCGGCCAACTGGGAGTGGCCGTCTGTGAACGACATGGGTGGTGGTGGCGGCGGTCACGATGCGGGGATGACTGCGGCAGCGGCCGCGGTGGGGAGCGACATGGACACCATGTTTTACAACTATTTCAAGAAATGATGGGGGAGGGGGCTGCGTTGGATGTATCCGTATGCCTTTCCATCTTTCTTATTTTCGTCTTTTTCATGACTTGATGAAGAACCTTTTTTTTTTTCCTTCTACTTTGCCATTTTCTTGGTATTTCTTACATTCGGCTCGAAAACAGCGAGCCAAACAACACACACACACACACACATACGCCCCTTACCCCCTTGTACAGGATAGATTTCATTGGGGGTCCCTTGGAATGGGACCGTGTCTTCAACAGCTTCTTCATCATTCACTGCATAGCTCCCAACTAGACGGGTAGGCAGGCAGCCTTCATTCGCCGACAAGGCACTCTTTATTTTTTTATTTTTTTTGGATTTTCTTATGTTTCGCATTCCATGGCTTAGAGGTTTTGGGGGGGTTGGGCATACTGACAACAACTCGGCGTTTAAGAGGTTCCGGGCTTACATTTCTTTCACATCCTTTCTTTCATTCTTTCTTTTTCTCTTTTACTCACAATGTGCTACTTTCTGAGCAAACAGAACGAATGGGGGCACAGCCAGGAGAACCATGGACGAAAATAAGGAAGGGAACGAAGAATGAGGGTTACATTGGCTCGCCATATGCTGAGAGCGCCAAGGGAAAAGGCGCCAGGAAG